GTCTTCTGAGGGCTCATGAACATCTATATGAGTGCTTTAATATTCTCTTACAAGGACTATTCAGATTGGGAAGTCTCAGCGGATAAGTCACTTTTTTTAACCAACTGAGAGTATTTTTGAGTTATTTAAAAAAAAATTAAATAACATCTATGTTAGCGTACAGAGACCGGTATGTTGCTCGGACCAATCAGATCGCCGCATAAGGGTATGTATCTCGCACTAATAAGAGCGTCGTTTTTGTTCTTTGGTTTGAGAGGTGTTCAAATTTCAACGAAGTAATACGGGATTCGGAGAGAGCGGTTCGTAAAATGAAATCTTCTTTTAGAATGAGAAATGTTGGCTTTTCGGCCTTGTTTTAACGTGTATTTTACCGCGTTTCATGAGAAATGCGATACTACTGGACAGGTGAAAGATATCAGATTATCTATAGTAAACGTGTTACTCTTGCTGTGAAAATAGTGGATAGTTGTTCGAGAGAAAATGGAGTTCTGTGCTCTGTAGTACGATCATGGTTATTATTCCTTCACGACGAGAGTGTGGAAAAATTTTGAATCAAATATTGTTTGAGGTGTTGATGAATTGCACCAAACATTTTGATTTGAGCAGTTCTTTAACGGCAAGCTGTGTTGCAAGATTCATGATTTGTTGAGTGTGCCGATTATATTATTCTGGATTGGTTTGCTCGGTGCTATCTCTAGATGAATGTCTGATTAAATAAAACTATGGACGATTTTGTGTGGCTCCTAGGAAGCTTTGTCACCACGAGTGACATCGTGTTTGATTGATACGCAATGTTAAGAGGTGTTTTTATTAAATTCAACGATTTTTCTACGAAAGATGGCTGAGTTTTCTCTTTGGTGGTTTGGTTGCCGTCCATTTTGTGGTAAACATCGTGGTGTGTTACTCTTGGATCGGGTCTTTCGATGTTAGAAGTTTGAATAGTTGCAAGTGTGTTGAAAGGTGGATTTTGTGTCCTTGGCTGTTGAGGGAAATTGTTTGGCTGTTTCGAGCGTAATTTTGAGAACACTGGACGAATGAAAATGTTTTCGATGCCTGGAGAAAGTGATCTTGTGGAGTCGTCTATGTTTGGCCATGTTTATTTGATTCTGTTATCTGGAATGAATGATTTACGGCGGTGAATTAATATAATGTGATCTACTGAAGTTGAAAATATTTCAAGTCGAGGGAACAGTTTTGGTCTCGGTGCGCATTTTTGTCAACAAAATAAACACATACTGCTTAAAAAGATGATAATACGGATCACGTGCAACGGTGTCAATTGTTTCTCGAATATTGCGCGTGTTAAATATTCAATAGTGACATCTCATTTACATCTACATCTACTTTCATTAAGTTGGTAAAATCTGTACAGACATCACACCAACCAACTCTGATCTTTTGTGAAAGGGATATAGTGCCTCAGCTGTCTCTCTACCTAAATTTTATTTGCTTAAAGTTCCAAGGCTTAATAATGAAGCTCCTGGTAATCTGAGCTTAAATATTTAGAGAAAGCGTGTCTTCTGTTAAAAAATGGTATTAACAGCTGTACAAAATATATACACTCTTAGGACTGCAGCCAACAACTTGTGAACTTTTGCTTGGCGTATACGTGACCAATTAGAGTTTTGCTAGATTCAGTTGTGTCTTCGTTTGGATGTAAAACAACAAAAAAGTTTTTTTAAAGATTTTTCTAGTCTTGTTTTATCGCAAATATCCCAGATACCTCCTAAATTACTTACTAGAAAAACTAATGCGAGCAGACAATATTTAACAGTATATCACTCAGAGACAGTCAGCTGTATTAAGCACCAATATGAGTTGTCTTCAGGCGTTTTTCCTTTCATAAATAGTCGCCTTCCATCTTACAGCGGATTTAACCAAGCGATTCCCTTTTTCAGTGAAGATTTTACGATTTCACGAATCTCCCGATATCTCCAGCAATAAACCACAGGATTCAATGAAGAATTTAGAAGTACGAGAAATCCTGAGACATGATTGACGGCCAGAAACGATAAACGAAAACCACTTGCTCTCAGCAGAATTATACAACAAAGATTTGGAAAAAAAACACATTAGAAAAAAGATGTGAACAAACATGGCGCTAATGGTCGACTTTCTTTGTCGAAGAACCAAGTTTTCTTGATTATTTTGCTGTTGCGCCAGCGTCTGGATTTGTATTTGATTCCTATGATATTTTACAACTTTATAAATACGGACATAGCCCGTGGTTGTGACGAGGAGTCCAATAAATTCAACGGTCACAACTACAATGTTATTTTGGTTAGGAAAATAAATGTATACAAAGGCCGCCAAAAAACTTGACATCCATAAAAGTGCTAACAGAACAGCAATGCATTTGGAAGTAACAAGTTCTTGATACCGAAGATGGAGAAAGATGGCTAAAACCCTGTCGACGGCAATGATGGTGACTGTGAGGAAGGATGCACAAGTCAGGAGGAAAACAAAGAAATAAGAAACAGAGAGAATCGTTGGACATAAAAATTCAAAGCTGTTGCTCCCACTGGTTGACAGATCCAACATTATCGCCATGATAATTCCGAACATTAATTGCGCTATCAGCCCAACGGCAAGATCGGAGACCGCAAGATTAAGGAAGAGCTTCTTTACATTAACAGGTATCGTGGAAGCTTTCCACAGAGCGCGAATAACAAGTAGGTTTCCAACTGTTGCAATAATGGAAAATGTCAAGTTCAAAACACAGGCTATCAAAGTTAAATTCCCTTGAAACTGGACTAGGATTGCATTTTCCTTCAATTTCCGAAGACACAGCGTGGCCGCCATATCAGCTTACGGTTTTGTGTATTTGCGCGGTTTAGAGTCGTGGCCCAAATGACAAAAACAAAAACATTAAATATGTATATTCATAGGTTGGATAACTTGTCAGGGAAGAAATTACTCTTTCATGATTAAGTAATGAACTTGAAATTTCAAAGGCATAATTTGAACAAGTCACAATTTTACATTGGGCAGGGGAATAGGCTAAAAAAAAATTTTAGAAATGGCACTCGCTATAATTAGCTATTAAAACTACAATTCTTTACAACCTTCCTATTGAAGGTTATTTCGATTGAGGAAAAATAAATACCTATGAAAACAGCGAGGTTTATAATCTTTTATTTTTACTAGGCTTCCCTGGAAACCGAAGCAACGATAATAAAGGTAGTCTTACAAAGGAATTTACATTTTCATTAAAATCTCTTGTTTTCTAAAAAAACAATAATAACAAAGTGATTACTCTGTCTTCTGTCCTAAAAATAACAAAGCAGCAAGTCAGTTAGCATAGAGCTAGTTAGCCTTTGGTCTAGACTGAATGGAGAATAAAACTGTCCTCAGCTACAGAAACAGTTGCTTTAGAGGGAGCCAATAAGTGGGAAACGTACCTCAGGAAATTCTTAAGACGTTTATTCATAAATATATGCTCTCAGTTCTTTGCGTAAACATTAGCCCTCGCCATTAGAAAATAAAACTTTATCGCGGGCAAACCACTTATTATTGCCTGAATCAAATATGATTAACGTGCAAGTTCTTTCACAACCAACCTTTTTATGGTACCGCTTATTGTTCATCACCGTGCGGGGGCCAGGGGGATGGGGGGAGGGGAAGTTTTTTAGTTGTGTTACGTAAAAATTTACCTGATCTCCCATAAGGCTCTGTGATTCCACCTCATTGGTGGTCAATTTTCTACACGACTAATACCCCCTCCGGTTCTCCCTTGAACACCATTTGACCTCCCTTAAATCCTCGAACGTCCCCTCCCCCTTCCTCGCCAAGTGAAAAATAATGACTGGTCGTTGAGTAAACCTTCATGAACTCAGATATAATAAAATTCTAACATGTAAAACTGTAACAATTCATAGAAAGAGGTATCTTTTCGTCTTGTCACGAGCGCAGGACAAAGAGAAATGTTCTAGGGAATCGAATCACAGACTTTCTGTAAGTCACACTCCGTAATAATCTTCGCACATTGAAATACCTGTCGTTCTTTCTAATAAAATTGTCTCACTTTACAAAAAAATCTCGCAATTTGCGTTTGAAAAATTTCGCACTTTGCGATAAAATTGCCGCACTTTGTCATCATTGTTTATGACTGGAATGACAGCTATCATTGGGTTTGCTTTCCCTCCGCTCATCTGCTGTCGAAACTGTTTAAAGTGGGATGAGCACTTAATACAGGTTGACCGGCAAATGACTTGCGTGATTACATGCGTAATATTTTTCCGTATAGTCTAAAGAAGAAAGATAATCTACAATGCGTTGACGACACTTGAACGGAAACTTGATTGCGGAAGATGAACATGGATTAAATTTGACTGGTGGGATTATTCTTAAGTTTGTTTGAGAAGTTCCGCTTCTACACGTGGGAGATGACAGAAACAGGCCGTTTGGACTCAAAAAGGGTGACCACGACTGCTTGATAGAGGTACCCGCATAACAGAGGTGGAAATTACAGGAAGAAGCGGAAAAAATTTCGGGACTTTGACCACCGACCGCATAATACAGGGTGACCGCTTAATACGACACCACTTAAAACAGGTTCGACTGTGTTCCAAGTTTATGAATATCACAGTGCGATAAGTGATGTTTTGATGTGATTTTAGAGTGCGACAGTTTATTTAATTGCTAAGTGCCAGCGATTGTCTGTTATTTTTGTGCGGCAGCTTTTATATTACAGAGTCCGACAGGTACAATATTACTATTTTTGTTAATAGTAAAAAACTTATTTGGGATTGTAGTCAAGAGGAAATAATAATTTTACTTTCTCTTTCTACAACGTGTTTGTATTTTCAATAACAAAACACTATCCAATTACGCGTCTTTCAGCAGGCCATACACTCACAGCATCCCCACAGAAGTTGGATTTGAAGTTTTGGCTTATTTCGGGAGACCATTGACACCATTTTATTGTATCGAATCTTGAATGAGATATAATCTTGAATCGTGAAAAAACGAGTGAGAGATTTGAGGCCTATACGATTATCATGGCTGCTAAGTTCTGTTCGCAGAAGTTGGAAGAATATAAAAACCTTGTCGTTTATCATGGCGCATTCATGACAACAATTTGTATTTTAAATGTAACATTTTCCATTGTGACAGTTATCGCGAACATCTTTGTTATCCGTGCCTTGTGGAAAGCTTCGTCGATTCCTGGCAATTTAAGGAGATTATTCATGAGTCTCGCTGTCTCTGATCTCTGTGTTGCTTTGATTCCTCAACTCACATTTGGTATTGTCGTGGCAGTGATGTTAAAGAGGTCAGGAAGTGGAAACTACGACTTCGGCTTCTTCTGCCCGACAATTTTATCCATTCGACACTTCTTTATCGTTCTTCTCATTGCTGCATCTTTCTTCACCGTAACAGCCATTGCTACAGACAGACTTCTAGCCATTTGTCTCCATCTCCGATATCAAGAACTGGTCACGTCAACACGAGTTTCCATTGCCTTAATTTGCTTGTGGTTTTCAAGTGGCATCGCTGCCTCTATATTTGTTGCATTTCCGGGGAAAGGAATCATCCTGATTGTGATTGCATTTGTTGGATTTACCATAACAACTATAGCTTACTGTCGTATTTACAAAGTTGTACGGTATCACCGTATCCAAATATATGCTTGCCAAAACAGACCAGCAGACGCCACTCGTGGTAGTCATGTTACAATGGTGACCTTTCTTCGAGAGGCAAAATCTACCATTAATTCTTTCTTTGTTTATGTTATTTTTGTCGTGTGTTACGTTCCCTATTTATGCACTATATTTATGTTGATCACAGACAGATTTCGACTTTCGTTTTTGGTAGCTAATTATACATCCTTTTTCTTGATGCTTTTAAACTCTTTTTTAAACCCTCTTGTTTATTGCTGGAGATATCGCGAAGTCCGTCAAATTGTAATAGGGATGGTAAAGAAGATGTTTTGCCGCTAACCAACATAGCACCAAGAAAAGTTATTATTCAACTCACTTTTACAAACATATGTAATATACTTCTCAAAATGGTTAATTGAAGTTTCTAATCGTTCGCGGTGATGAACAGCAAGCTGGTGATCCTGTTGCCCTCCAAAAATAACAAAAATATATGAAGGATACGCAAAGTTGAAAAGAATGGCAGTTATTTGTTTTTTCTTTGTCACAATGAGTAATTAAATGTAAGAGGTTACAAACCACAGTTTATGATCACTTGGTAAAATATTTGTTCATTCACATTATCGTATGAAACCTCAGTATTATATAGAATTTAAAATTGGTGACGTGTTTTTAAATAAATAAGAAGTCTAATTGTAGTTTAATTATCTGTTTCCAAGCTGTTCCAGTTTTTCTTGAATCTGACTAGAAAAGTGTGTCCCCTTTTGTCGAGTGTTGAAACATAGCTAGGCAATAGGGACTTAGTTTACTGAAACATATGATTCTAACGTGAACATCAAAGTTAAGTTGAAGTAAAGATTTCAGGTATCAGTAGCCTCTTAGATAAAGATCTTAAGCTTCTTGATGGTCTGTGGTGTTACAACATTTCTGTTATGTAAAAAAAAAAATGCGAATCCATATCAGGGTAATGAGTTCCAGCCAGAGAAAATAACGTTCCTTAATTTTCCTCATCTTTAGAAAGGCTTTCAAGATAACCCAAAATGTTAGACTGATGGCTGCCAAGTTTTGCATATGCCAGTTATGTGCATTGCTTTTATCTACTTGTTTTCCGCTTCAACCACAAGGATGTTTCTACGGCCAAAATTTTGCGCTGCAAACGCTCAGCTGAAAGTGAAGAGAGACCAAAGAAAAACAAATAAATCTGAAATACCTCGTTTATCATAATTTTGAGGTTTTCTATGATTTAAAGTCGAGGGTGAAATGTTTCTTGCCCCGAACACCATGATTTGCAAAATATGCAAAGCTTAAGTAACCATCGATTGAATCAACCATTTGCGTCAAAGGCATTGATAATGAATTGACAGTACTTGATTAGATCCGAACACAAGCTGTGCGTTTGGCTATTATTTCAAAGTAAGTTGAAAGCTTTTTGCGGGTATATCTAATTCTTTTGGGCCGCGAACAGAATGCACTCATCCACGAGAACCATGGATTAATTAACGATGTGCACACTTACGATTATTTACCGGGTATTTTCAGATCAACTAAGATCAACTTCTACTTTGCCTCAAGCCTTGTTAAAACATTAATGAAAGGATTTCTGATCCGGAAAATGTGCCTTAACGACGTATAATTGTGGCCAGCGTGACATCGGCTATCGTGATAACAAACTTTGCCCGATCGCTTCTGAATTGATAAAAACTACTCCATCTTGTTCGAATTTGGCAGCTACTCGAAGCCAGTTATTTTCCATCCTTCTCCGCGGATTTCTGGAAGTGTGAAATACGAAAAGTCCCGGAGTTTAGTGCGGGGTGTTAGCATCAATTTTTTTTCGCTGATGTTTTCTTTCTCGCGCGTCAGACTTTGCCAAAAAGGAAGGCTGTTCGTGATCTACATATTGAAGGGAAGTATAACTTTAATTGATACATGCGATATTTATGTCATCGCCAAAATTTGCATACTATAGCGTGTTAAAATTGCTGTATTAGGTAATGAATTCAGAACTGTTCAAGTTTTCAAGACAGCTTTGAGTTTTATTTACCAGCGTCCTTACAACACACTCACGATCATGAACCCAATGACAGTCAGAAATCATACATCTAGGACATTTGTTGAACTAAGATCTCCAGTGGCTTAAATTTGTTTGATTCTCTGCGAAACTAAAACATATAGTTTTGGATTTGATAACCTGCCAAGTTAGTAAAACGCTGGTTTGATGCAGTCGAAAGTGAAATTATCATAAAATAAAAATAGAGTTCAGGGCAAGAAAACGGTCATTGCTGTCCCGATCCATATCTCAAATACTTGTATTTTCCATGACCGATCATTTACAGTTGTGAACTTCCTCTAAGCATAACAGACGTTCTTCCTCCCACCTGCAAGCTGGACACATGTGTACGATTGTCATTGTCATTGTCACCCAGTGGATGGAAACAAATACTGGATGATATTAAATTTTTAATCACTTGCTGTAGGACAAGAAGAAGTATATATTAAATTTGTTTGTTTGTTTTCTTTTTACGAAATTTTCGTTTCGTATTCACTATCATCATGGCTGCCGAGTTCTGCATTCAGAAAGTGGAAGAATACAGAAAGCTCATTCGTCATAATGAGACATTCATGTTGGTTTTTTGTGTTTTAAACTTAATATTTCCACTTGTGGCAGTTCTTGGGAATCTCCTTGTTATCCGTGCCTTGTGGAAATCATCGTCGATTCCAGCTAAATTAAGAAAGTTATTCTTGAGTCTCGCTGTCTCTGATCTCGCTGTTGGTTTGCTGGCTCAATTAATGTTCGGTGTAATTAACGCTGTTATGTTAAAGATGGCGGAAGATGGAAATTATGACATCAGTTTCCTCTGTCCAACGATTTCAAACGCACGTTTTTTCTGGTTACTTTTCCTAACTTCTGCGTCGTTTTTGACAATATCCGGCATTGCAGTGGATAGACTTCTCGCCATTTCTCTCCATCTCCGATATCAGGAGCTAGTAACTTCAAGAAAGATTGTTTTGGCTTTGGCCACGTCATGGTTGGCTAGTGCTGTCACGGCTTCTACATTTGTCGTCCTTCCTGAAAAGAATACTCTTGTTGTCATCGTTGTAGGTTTTGTTGGATTTGTCGTAACAACAGCGGCGTACATACGCATTTATAAAGTTGTGAGGTATCACCGGGCTCAATTGCAGGCTCAGAGAGGAAGGTCAGAAGTTAATTCAATAGCCTTTCTCCGAGAGGGAAAGTCGGCCCTGAATACTTTATACGTCTATATAGTTTACTTCGTTTGTTATTTCCCCTATTTGTGTACTTTAGCCATTTTGACAACAGATAATCTCAATATGTCATTTATACTCGCGAACCATGTTTCGTTTTTCTTGACTCTTCTGAACTCTTCATTAAACCCTTTGGTTTACTGCTGGCGATATCGGGAGATTCGGGAAAGTGTTATAAGAATGGTAAAGAAACTATTTTGCTTTCCAGCAACTGAACATTAAAGGATGGAATTGAAGACGATAAGCTAACAGGATAAGACTTTCAGAGCGCCATATTTCCTCCATTCCCTCTCATCATCCTTTTATTAATATATTCTCTACTGATTGTCTTACTCATTTGGCAATTTATTTAACTTGACCAATTTTTTTTGTGTTCCAAATTTGTTAAAGAAGTCATATCTTGACTGCCACTTCCAACTGCATCTTTTTTCATTTTGCGAATATTTGTGTCCTATTTAAACCTGAAATTATGTATTGTTAGTTATTCTGTATTAGTTGTAAAACTACTGAAATAAACGAGAATAGATTAGAATAATAATCGTTATTTGACAAAGTTTGTCGCGTTTAGTAGCTTCTGTGCGTTTGAAGACCATGTTTGGAAACACACGAAAAATTCGCGACGATCATCTAATGGTAGTGAAGGAGGGGAGGGGGGTGGGGGCTGTGGGTGGGTAGGTGACACCTTCAACAATGCTAACCATTCTGGTTCAAATATTCTTTACTGTTTTCTTTTTTCAATGGTAAAAATGAAGTGTAGTTTATTGACAATTTATTGCAGCTTGAATTTTCTATCTACTCTTAATTTTTTTTCTTCTTTCGTTTCTTCTTCCCTTCTTTTCCTATCGGACTAGATTCAGCCCCAACACCGGTGGTTTTTGTTTCGTCTTTTATGTGCCCATTTGCTTCTCGTTTTCTTCTCGAGTTATTCATTTTTGTTTCTTTTTCAGAAGACGACCTGAAAGTCAACATAATTTAAATTTTCTAATTTTACCTCTCAGTAAATAAAGCGATGAGATGTTAAGAGAATCTATCGAGAGGACTAAGTTTAATACTAGAAAGGTCGATTGCGCATGTTTATAATGGCAATTTTTATCTGATAGCTACCTGTGTAACCTTTAATTGCAGTCACCGAACATCATTCAAACATTACACCGGTAACTTACCGAGACAAGTTAGAGAGGATTACGTTACAAACACCCTTAATGTCTGGGGACTTTTTAGCTAACGCACTCCCCTGGATTCGCGTCACTCCTTCCTTGAGCTGATCTATCCGTAATACTGCTGCAGCCTAAAAGAAACGAGATACAATTTACCTCTAATCACAATATGAGAACTACACAACGAGCTACATGTGAAAGTCAACCTTCTCCATCCTAAGCCATCTTTCTTCCATTTAGATTCGTTATTATCGTTTATCCAGTTTACTAAACGAATATTCTGTATTCTCCTTCAAGTTACAAAGAGTTTCACATGACACGCAGTTGCTCGAAAAATCAAGATCCCCGATCCAGGTAAACAAAGAGGAAAGAGGAAACTATTTTCACAATCGCTTCACAAATCAAGAAAACTCCAACATTGAATTTATCCAGCTTTCACTTTGCCAAAAATACCATGAACATTCTACCTCTTCCGTATTTTTTACTTCATTGATGAACTTTGTGGTGAGTTTAAGAATTTCTCGAAGATGTCTCATCTTCACATCTGAATCGGATTCAGCGACCTTGGTCATTACCTTGGAAAGAGAATAAAGTAGTTTTCGACAGTTGACATAAAATAACGCCAACTAATGGTGTTATGCATGCCGCCACTTCCACTATTAAATAAACTGCGCTTCTTCATACAATGTGACAATTCACTCTGAGTAAAATCACCGGCGATCAAACTTGGAACCACTCGGAGTTACTACTTTAAAACAGCACGAAAAGCAAAAAGTTTTCTTGGTAGTTACTAACAGTAAATGGTTTGAACCGGGGAAAAACATGTGATTGCGTAGTCTGATTGTCCGATTGATTATTGTTCTGAGCAGGATTGTTATCAGGTAGTGGTAGCAAAAGTTTCGAAAGCCGTAAAGAAATTCATCATCAAATTCAAGCTACAATGAGTCCCTTGACTAAGACGATAACCTCCGCTCGAGTTGTCGAAAAGTCAGTCAAAGTTAACGACAACAGTCCTTCCCACAGCAACTCTCCACTGGATGATCAGACTATACGATGCAAGTTTGTTTGAAATTTTGCTTTGGGAAAGTTGTTTTCCTTTTGAAATGTATACTATTCTTGTTTTTATCGTATTTGCTATTCCTTGAACTTTTCCCATGCTTTTGTTAGCTTCACAGACGATGAAAAATGACAGGTACTTACTGAGTTCAAAGTCGTTTGTATAGATGGAGCGAGATTTCTTATAAGAGTGGAATGGTCTGGAGTCTAAGAAGGAAAAAATAAACGAAGAAAAATAAGGCAAGGAAAAGAAAAGTAGCAACAAACGACAAATGAGTCAACAAATATCACCCGTGATTTTCTCTCTATTAACCTTTTGCGACATCAACTGTAAGAGCATCAAACATGCTTGGCTCTGAAACGTAAAACAATAAAAGGCAATATCGATAAAGCATACTGGTTCTGAGATAAATATTAGTTCAAATGAGGGATTTTACAAAACTAGCTATTTACCGCTCAGTTGTACGATCTGGATAATAAACTACAAAGGCTAAACACAAGGAATAGAACAGTTTATATTTGATATTATTAAGTACCTACCTTTCTGAAATTGTTAACTGCAGTTTCGAGGTATTCAACTAAATCTGCAGCTAAATGCCATCCAAGATGCTGAAATCGAGTAGGAAACAGAAGATTCTTAGTATTTCTGATTAAATTGTGACAAAAAATAATAGTACAAAATGCAATATTCCAACCCATTCTCCAACCATGGACAACGCAAGGTCTGCATTTGGAGTAATTCAATCATTCTTAACAATAAAAACATTACTAGTTAGCTACCAGTTAGTTCAATTCTTCAAACTATGCTTTCCAGACATTACGGCACAAGACCGTTTGGCGGTGTCAAGAAAAAAAGCAAAAAAGTAAAGAAAATCTTGGAGAGAAAGATGTCTGCCTTTTCTCAAGTTTTCTAGATTGGTGTCTGCCGTAAAGCATAGGAAGTTTATAAATCCTCGTTTATAGGCTAATTCTTGCATCTCACCGGGAATCGCTTTATCAGTTCTGTGAACAGCACTGGATGAAGGTGTGTACTCCTACAGAATGAAAACGCAGAATGTAAACTGGAAACTATAGTTAAATAAGCTCAGAAGCAAATCTGACCCGTTCAGTGTCAAACACAAAGATTATCGTCGTTTTCGTAGTAAAACTTAAGAGATCTAGACAAAAGAGTACTTAAAAATTAAAATGAAGCTTCACTGGCGAAGCTTGGAAAACAGAAGTTACCCCCTATGAGTCCTCGTTAACGAAGTCAGACCCCTAAAATTACCAATGCGCATACACTACGCACCTCTTTAACATGAAGTCTTCCAGAGCTTTCTTAAATGCCGCTGTCACCCTTTTAGTGTTCAACAAGCACAGCTGTAGGGAGGAAATGGTAAAGAGTACCTCAAAACAACACTTGCTCTACTCGACCGCGATACAAACCCCTTGTTTAATTACGAGCGCTTTCCGATTGGGTATCGGGGTAATCACAACGGCAACTTAAAGAAAGAAAAGTACCCCTGAGAGCCAATGAAGAGGCAACTGTCAAAAGCGCGCGAAAACGCCGGTGATTAAGTCGTGAATGGTTAAGTTTTGCATTTGATCGTTTGAGAGAGTGGCGCAAGTCGTTTTGGACCAATTATAAAACGAAGTAAAGCAAAACCAATGCAACCCTGGAGTTATTCGGAAACTATTGACAACTTTTGTGTCACACTATGGTAGGCTTTAAAATGATATGGAAGGAAACGATTTTACGGTCTCCAACACATACAAACATACCTTTTTAATCTTCAAGAAGCTTAGGCTGAATGGAGCAGTAAGACAACAACAGCAACACTACATGACTTCTCATTTCTTTTACTTACTTCTCATTTCTTTTACTTACTTTCGCCGTTTCCTCGTTACAACTTTCTTCTTTTTTCTTCTTTCCAACAGCGACAGACTGCTTCGTCTGCGAGCCTCTCAATACACGAACCTAAACAAAAACAATTGAATATAGGATCGTAAAAGGCAAGACTTCGAAATGTGTGCCTATATCGTATATTGTTCTCTTAACTTTCAATTCATAAATAGATAAATAAAAGTTGTAAAAAACATCGATAGACACTTCTTACCAAATATAAACAACCACGCGTTATCAGTGAGACAATCGCCATCGAGGGAGCTATAAAGATAAAATCATTAAAATTTGCACAATAAGCTCATACAAGTCCCCATTTAGGTTAACTATTTCATTTTGGTTTCAGTACATTCTAGACAAGTGACGAGAATAGAAAACGTAACAACTTAGGGCTGTATTCTTAAAAAAAGGCCGGAAAAAAATGTCAGAAAGCACAAAAGCGGCAAAAATGGTAAATAGAAATCGAGTAAATTGTAAATGCCTCACCCATCATTGCTTTCTGAATCAGATTTTCAAGCTTTTTGTGAACGTCTTTGGCGTTGATAGCCGAGACCGGTGGAAGCTATAACACAAAAATGCATCAAATGATTTCGGCATCTGCAGTGTTACATATGGGAAGTAGCTTTGAACCACAGAAAAATCACGAGTACATTAGAAAACTGAAATGAACTACCATGTCGTTCATGATTATTTATCTTATTCCAATATCAAACTAGTAACGCTACTTCGCGAAGATGACCCAGTGTAGTTTCAGGCAAACTGGAATTTCTTGCTTCTCTGATTATTTTTTTAATCTTCTTTCTTTTTTTCATCACTTCCTCTGATCGCATCTTTAGTCGACTGGCAAAATAACTCAATTCAAATAAAAAGAGCATAAGTTTTCGAGAGCTTTTCTTAATTTCCATAGCTATTCCGTAAGAATATAGGAAAAAGTTTAGAACGTCGTAATCAAAAATTCCTGCTCGTCCGAGAATTATATTTATTAAATGGGTAAAAAAAAAATTCATTCTTTACAAACTTACAAACATGTTACATTAAGATCCTACATGTTTGAAAAATGTAACTGTAATGATTTTAACCTTCTGTGAGTTTCTGCTATCACCTAAATATTTACCTCTTTTGCCGTGCATAACTTGTTTTGAAAGATTGCTTGAGCCTTTTCGCCTAATGTATGGAAATCCTTAGAGTTCAGTGCAGACCAAGTCACATTCAACAGAGGAATAATCAACTCCTACAAGGAAATACATCGTAAAACATCAACGTGATTTCATGCGTTCCACACAGATAACTTAGTAAAACGTCCCGTCTCCGAAAGGAAGATTATGAGCTAAAATATCCTAAGAAAACCATCATGCACACGTTACAAGAATTAATCGTGAATTAAATAGAAAAAGAGGGATGTGAATAGTTGATGAATTTTCCTGAATGTTTAGCCACAGAAAAATACACTCAAGAGATCTAGTTACAAAATCTGCGGAAATTGAGGCCACTCGCTTCCTTCGTATTATGGATGAGCATCACGATAGCTGTCTGTGCAATAAGGAAACCTTCAAGAACCTTCACGTTCAGTATTGCACAAAGAGCTTCAAATTGACAAGATGTTTGGGGTGTACGTAACACATAAGAAGTTCGGAATTTTTTCAAACTCTTAAAACTGCTTGAAAAATACTCGTAGTGTCACTTTAAAATTATCTTAATATAGTACACTTATTCCGGGAAAAATGGCATTCCAGTAGAGGGAAAGTTTTAAGTTCTACTTACGAGTATCAGTGGATTGGAGGCTTGTTTCTTGATGAGTATCTCTATAATATCTAGCACCCTTGAAAAGAGTATAAAACGAAATAAACAAGTTTATCCAAACCTGATAAAACTAAAGAAAGATTAAGTACAATGTAAAAGAAAACGGATCTCTAAAGACCGAACTTTACCTCAGTTTAAAATGGAGAATGATCTTCCTGGCATCTGCTCAAAATCCAAAAATAAAAATAGAAGCGAGATTAGGTGCCCAATAACTAGAAGAGAGGAGTAAGCCACGAAACTCACCTCTTCCACGCTAAAATATTTGGTGTAAATTAAGGGTTAACTTAATTTGTTAGTGTAACACTCTAAAGGAACAAAACTCTGAGCTTTCGACTCCGCTAGAATCTTGTTCTCCGCGAAATGATTAGTTCAATCGACAGAAGTGACTTAGTCTTGTGACCTGACCGGACTAATTCTTTCTTTCCCCCGTCTCTCATTAAGGCCGGTTAAGTATTAAGATGAGGAGGTAAGTGACCTATGTATGGCAAAAGCTAGTAGTATTTACCAAAATTAAAAAAGGTACAGCCCTTAAAAAGAATAGGCAACTTCTCATAATGATTTAATAGACATTAAGAAGACTCTTTAATCAAACAATGGGTTAAGGGATGAACGCGCAAGCAATTAAAACATTTTAAATGGCATGGCCCACCAAGCAGTAAGCGACTTGGACACAAAACGTCACCTTTCTTTTTGTTTATGTCCCTTTTGGCCTGCAACTGAGATTTGAAAACAGCGGCGAGGGCGCCATCGAGTCTCATCATCGCTTCATCGTCTAAGTCTTCATCACTGCTACTTCCCTACAAAGAAAAATTACCATTTCCATCTTAGGCAACTACGTGTATACAGGGATACTCTCCGTGTGGATCACATCGGAAGTTTTCTTTAGGTCCCTTTTTATCACGGAGATATACATGCATGCCTGGGGTCGAAATACTGTAGATCTTGACCGAAATTTAGCTAAAACGAGGTCAGTAGATGAATATCCGCTAAATGCTTTCCATCTCTTCTTCCTTATGTAATCTTATGTTTTTTTTGTTTTACTCCCGTTACTGGATCATCTGTCGTCCGAACTTGCTCAATGATATAAAAACAAGGTTTTATTGTAATCTAATACTCGCTGGTAACTTTTTTGGGAAATTTTTACCAGTTAGAGCCGATACATCAGCACTCCGATAAGATTGTGAAGCTACAGGGGGAAATTCTCTAAATTTTCTGCGGTACTGAAATACAGCGACAACATTCCGAAAATATCAGTTTGTATCAATAGTAGCCTCGGAGTCAAAACCTCAGAATCCTGTTTCCAGCGAAACACTACTGCTGGGAAAACTATTGCACGTAATACAGTTAAAGGTGAAAAAGTATCTAATTTCTTTTACTCCTTCTCGCGATTAAATCCAAAGGATCTAAGTGTCGAAATTCAAGCCGCCAGCTTCTGAGCTAGTGACTAAAGCACGAGTACACCCTATGCGAGTATTGGGAGCCAGTTGGCGAGAAAATGTTACATAAACAAGGACTGTTTACACACTATCAATACAGCATTCTTTCTCGCGATTCTGTCATAACAAACCTCCTTGTCCACGTCCACCATGGCTGGACCGAGGGCAGCTTGTACTTCAGCTCTAAAAGCTTCGTCCACTGCACCAACATTTTCCTCTTCCTCATCTGAGCTGCTAACACCCTCGTCATCATCGTCATCGCCACTTTCACCTTTACCGTTTACGCCATTTGATTCTTCCTAAAACAGCGCAGTGAATTTCAACACAAGATAAAACACCACACATTCTCGTCGTTCATGTTATCATCGTCGTATTTGCTTTTAAAGCAATTTTCAATTGAAAGTCGAAGTAATCTGAGGTTGCATTGGTTTTCCTTTACTTCGCTCTGTGATTGGTCCAGGAAACTCGCGCCACTTCCTCAACCAATTGAATGATAATTTAAAACCAATCACGACTTGGTCGCCCGCGTTTTCCCGCGCTTTAGGCAAATTGTTTGTTTTTACCTTGAGTTCTCATTGGCTCTTAAAGGTACTTTCGTTTCTTCTGATTGGCTGACGTGGTTACCTTGGTGTTAGCTTTACGACACTAAATGGAAAAGTGCTTTATAATTGCCGTACTTTTTTCTTTTGCTTGAGTATTGTCTTTCTTGATATATCTTTAAGCCGCCATCAAATTCTTATAAAGTGTGAAAATTAAGTAATTTCATATTTGGTCATGTCACCTTTTCTTTTTCTTCATCGTCCTCCATTTCTTCATCATCCTCTTCGATATCTGGAAAATAAAATACAAGTATATATAGTAGTTCTAAAATAAATAATTTACTACACTGACCAAAATTGAAACAGCTTCTGCTCGTTAGTTACTTTTGGAACTTTTGCCATACAGATAAATAATTAAGTTGGATCAGCACGCCAAAATTATAGCAGTTGTCAGCATTGCCACGCGTTTACCTTAAAGGAGAGACCGAAAAGGGGAAGAAAATACAACGCAAGAATAAAATTATGAAATAATAAGTTTCATAATTTAATATGTACTCACCTGATTCATCGACAATCTCTAAACTTTCACCATTAATTCCTTTTCTAGTATCCAGGCTCTAAAGCAACAACAGTAACAAAATAGTTACATCAGAGCAACGATCATATTGAGATCAGTTCAACGTTTCACGCTTGTGATACAAGGGGATTATTTTCATAAGGTCTCCTCAAGAAAAATAAATACTGAAACAACTAAAGATGTTTATTGTCCTAACAAGAGCGTGAGACAAAGAAATATTCTGAGTCCTTCCCAGGAGAAATCGGAACCCAAGCCGTCGGATTCCGCGCTCCGACGCTTTACCCCTGAGCTACAGAGAACTCCATGAGGAGCTAGGTCATAACTAGATTCATACGTGACACGTGTCCTACGAACTGATCAAGAAAGATGGTAAATTTTGAGCTGGGCTATCAAACAAAGAGAGAGGTAATTCGCCTCACGATGAATCACGATAGATATATTGTTTTCTCCCGGAAACCTGGTGGTTTCTTGAGGTCTCCTCGTCTTATCATTGTAATGCTTTAAATTTATGGTTTTTTCTTTTTATTGTCAAAAGAGGCAAATAGATGATGATGATGACGAATCCTCAATACGAAGTACTCAATGAAGACTTAGAAAGTCCTACTGTACCTCTAAAATCATGTTTAGAGCATTCTGAGTCAAATGGGGAGCAAGTAGGACAAAGACTTGATCAACAACATGGCGGAACAGACTTGAGGTTTTGGTCAACAGACTGAGTAACACTTCAGTCAGAACCTCTACCCAATGTGGCTCCTCTACAAAAACAAACATAAGGTCAGCAGAAGTGTATACGTGGCATTGTGAGTACGGATGACATTTGTAAGAAATGGCAATTCTAGTTTTCTTTTCTCAACTTAATATAAAGTGAATAGCGAGATGTTTATTTCATGTGCTAACTATTATTTCATGCAAGTGAATTGTATCTTCATTTGCAGGGTGTATACTCAACTTTCTTCCAGCATCAAGCATTACCAAATGTCAAATCAAATATTGCTAAATCCAGTCGTAGACTATTGTTCAACATGATGTTTGTTCAGGTATATGTGAAGGGAAAACCCCTCTATGAATAACCACTAAAGAAAGTCTCTCTATTTTAACGCATACAGTAAGATCGTTGGGCTTTCATACAGTTGTTGAGTTAGCGAAGTTCAAAAGAAGTCAAAACTATTCTCGCCAAAACATCTATAAGGCTGGCACAGTCCACAAAGTATTTAACATGCAATAGCAGTCACAAAACAAACACAATATTCACCATCACCCTTCTCCTCGTGTTTGGTCTTCTGTCTTTCGTAGCAAGCTTTTAGCTCCTATAATAACACCAAAAAATCTGAGACATTTAACCTTCCCAAAAGTGTCCGGATACTATAAGAAATATGTGAGTTTCAAAACCATCAAAAAGATACACAGTTATTAAATTACTGCTACATGTATAAACAGAATTCCTTTAGATGCATGGGTGGTTTAGCGTAGATTCAGAAATGTACCTTTAAAATGTCCATGGCTTGTTCTGGTTCAGTAAATAAATTCAAAGCCATGTGCGTAAACAGCAGTTCAAAAACCTCATCCTCATGTCGAGACTCTCCACTTTTCCTTCTCTGCGCGAGACAACATAAAAACGTATCTATGTGTACTATGTCGTTCCTAATGGACGCCTTCTAACAAAACTAGAAAATCGAAACAAAGCAAAGCAAAACAAAATACTGAGTCAAAAAAGCAATTAGGTACCTTTTTGCGAATCTTTTCAATACTATGTACTGCTTTCTTGAAAGCTTTTTCTGCCTGTAAGAAAATTTAAAAAATTGCAGAAATTAGCTTTGAAAGAAAACTCTTAACAGTGGCCAATTATCGTCATCAACTCAGTTGATAATACCAGATTGTCTTGTTATACTTTCCCACCGACGTAGCCCCACAGTTTCCTTAAAAACTTAACCCCTTTATTCATTTGTAAGAAAAAACGAATTTAGCATCCTTCACAACTTGCTACAGAAATGGATTTGTCGAAAGAATGCGTTCATCGGAAAAAAGGCGACGCCATCGTAATTGGAGCATTAACTAAAGATTGAAAACACAGAAGCTATTTCTTGCATGAATAAAGAGAAGATATTTTTGTTTAACCATAGTTTTGTGGAACCTTATCTGGAAAAACAGAGTCACCGCTATACCTACTTCACCCCGTTATCTAAAGCATAAACTGATCGGGAGTACTGTATGCCTAACTTGCATCAGGCGCTCTTTTTTTCAGGGGAGTGCCATCGTGTAGCAGCGCAACAGCCGGTGGGTGTGTTATCTCATGCATACAAACATAATAAATGATTTAGAGCAATACACTCGAGTGCGAGGACAATTTGGACGAGAATTCATAAACCAGACGTATACCTCTTCCGTCCACAAATCAGAGGCCACTTTGTATTCACCGGGCTCCAATAGTTCCTGTCCGAAACAGATGCACAGAGAAGGTAAACAATTAGCCTAAATTGTATCAAATGCTTTGAGAAAGAAACGACCAAATGTGAGTTTTTCAACGGTATCTTAAAGACCAAAGAAAAATTTACGGTTGAGAGATCAGTAGTAGATACAACAACCTCAAGAATTTAAATGCGATAAAAGGTTACCACCACCTGCTTTGGGGAGGTATTTTTAGTGAAAGATGTCAGGAGAATTTGAAAGGGTTCATCAAATTGACAATAAATACATTGAATGATATGATAACGCCTGTCATGAGTGCTGTGGCAGTTACATTGATATCTAAACTTTAACAAAAAAACTCACACAAATGTACGACGCAGTTAACTGTAAGCCATGAAGAGTCTTAAAGGTATGACTAATCTGTACAGAATATTAGTCAGTACATGACTTTAATTATATGAAAATCATATATGTATAGCCGCAAACGCTAATCACTCGTATTTCAAACTTTACTAGAACAAACTTGACACATTGTTGAATACGGTAACTGAAAATGACAAAATTACAATCACGCGAATGAGCATAAATAAATTCGTATGAGTGAAAGTACAATATGTGAGCTGCGGTTTAAGAAATGAATTTGAAAGCGATCTTGGTAGTAATGAACACTACTTAAGCTAAGTGATAACCAACATAATGACCAGCTCCCAGTTGGCTTGTTAGCTCAGTTGGTAGAGTGCTGAACCGGTATAGCAGAGGTCATGGGTTCAAACCCCGTACAGGCCTGAATTTATTTTTTTCAGGCCTTAATTTTCACTACTGCTTGTGTGGTGTCATTACTGCGAAGAACACTTTCAAATTCAATAGTCAGTACCTTGGCATGTTGCACAATATCATGGAGCTCAAACGATTTCATCTCTCTGCTAGATGATAAGTCTTTTAGTGCACTAACAAATCTCTGTTCACAAATCTGCCTCACTGAAGCTGGCAAAGTTTCCTGTTATATGTAGTACAAAGACAAACATGCATGTAAGCAATTTAGCTGTTTTCAATTTCAGCATCTAAAAATATAACAGTACCTGACCAATAACTTCAAAGTTTACATGTAAATTAAAAAACAATGAAATTTACAATGAGTTTTATCACATCAACAATCATTGATAGTCTCCTTGAGAGAAAAATGGATCTGAAAGAGACTATCTTTTGCTGAAATGTGAGTTTCAAGCAAGTTTTACTTGTTTCAAAAAGCATTACGAGCATTTCTTAATGGATACAAATACTCTACATGAATAAGTTATAATTCACTGTGAATATCAAAATAAATATACTAACTTTTTTATTCTTTCCAACTGTTTGGAAATATGCATGCTTAAGGAAGAAGAAAAGCACATCTTGTAACCAGTTCCCCTCATGTGCACCTGACTTCTTCTTGACCAACTGATAAAGCTGATTACAGTACAAAAGTAAGACAAAAGAGAAGTTATGTTTTACACTTTTTTCTTCAACTTATTAAGTTAAACATAATATAGGGCATTGTAGTCTCGTATGTCTAGTTAAAGTCTTGTATAGTAATGACAATAATAATGATAATAATAATAAAACGTTATATTTTACACTGTAAATACATGGTGCAAACTTTTAATAACCAGATATAGAGACAGATCAAGAGGGGAATTATCGACAACACTAACTTGGTTTAAAACTGCAATCCTACTTGACTCTTCACTCTTTGTTAAGGACCTAGAAAGAAAACAAATGTTACATAGTGACCAAATAATTTAGAACACAAAGATGATACAGAGTGAATGAAAACTTCACAGCTATACAAGCTAGGGTTGCACATCGATTATCCAAGATAGACAGGCACACACAAAGATACAAGGAAAGTTTGACTGACAAACAGACACACTGACAGACAGCTGACGCTCACATACATGTATGCACAAACAAACAAAAAAAAAAACACCCAGAGACAGGGAAACTTCTCCACAGTGGCCTCATTGAGGACATAGGAAAATGGCCAATGTTGAGAGATGACTGTTATGGGAAGGTGTAAGTGCACATGTATGCATGAGCTCTGTTTTTTGGGAGGGGGCAAGAGGCTGTTGTGTAAAGGTGGCTGGTCAGTGTTCTGCAGCAACTCCACTGGCCAGGATTTTCACTGGCTACTAACATGCTCATTACAGTATTATCGTACATAGTGTCAAGTATATATAAATTCATGAATAATTTTCACTGATCCTTACTCTGATTCTGTAGAATCTTCAAAATTTCCTTTCTCAAAAATATCAAGCAGCCATGCTACAAACATCTGTGGTCCTGATCCTTGAAGCTGTAAAAAAAATTTTAAAAAAAACTTAGCAGAGATGAACAACCAATACATCATGATCAACATTCAAAACTGATCCGCATGGCAACAGCCACTTCCATCTCAAGCTGAAAATTAAAGAAAAGCAAAACAATCTGCTTAGTATAGCAGAATATCCTATTAATAAAGTCTATTAAAGTTACAACTCACTGTTCCAAGTAAACTGTCCACAGTTCTTGTTTTAGTCAGCTTGTCAAAATGCATAATGCCATGTCTAAAAGAAAAACCCACACAATTTGGATTAGTAGTCAACTGAAGGGTTTCTGTAAACAGGTCTTACGAGCAGAGTGCCCCTTTATCGTCAGACTTAATCCCAGTTTCCATTCCTAAAAGTAACTTGGAGTATTGCATCTCCACATGAAGGGGGATGCTACTCTACATCAGATAGTGCCAGGTACCTATCCCAGGTTTTCCTCACTCTTCAACTTCTGGTATCCATTTTTTATAATCATGACATTCAGAGGCACAGTGTAAACATACTGTGAAGGTAAATCTTTTTGTCCAAGACACAGCTCAAGGTTTCTTTCAAGGCTAACTTCCCTGTTTAATTATTTTACTTGCTAAAATTATAGCACTGTACCTTCCTAAAAGCTGTTTTAATACCACCACTGGAACTCCAGGATCTTTGCTTTGGTTCACTAAAGCAGGAAGACTTGAATCCTACAGTAAGACAAACAGAATTTAGAATTGTGCAGTAAGCTACAAGACAGTATGCAAAAAAGGTAACATCTCATCTCATTTTCCCCATTGTGAAATAATAAATAATATGTATAGGGGCTGGATTTGTACTCAAACAGTTCTGATTCACAATAAAATGCTCAGCCACCCTAAACAAACCACAAGTAAGTTACTACACAATATCATCCTGCAACTTTAGTTGAAAATCTGACCAAAGTCCAGCATATTTTGAGGATTATTAAATTTAATGCATATGTAATGTTGACTACATCTGTCCTCGAGATACACTGTAGAGTAATACAGACAACAGATGGGTGTCCTTTTCTATCCCCCTCTTCCTTTTCCTGTGAGGATGGGGTAGACTCAGGTCACCCACATTCATGAAATTGGATGTTATTGATAATTATTAAGACCTTAAAATAATCCTGAATGAATAACTCAAAAAGGCTTTCTTCAAGGGGGGGGGCAATGTCACCCAAATAGGCTTTTTTACATTTATAAACTTGTACTTCAGATTTTTCTCATTGATGGGGGTCTAAAGTCACCCAAGGAGCATTTGCTTACAAAATGAACAGCCTTCTTTTCATATTTATACTGTAACTTACAATGCCTGTATAATATACTGTAACTTAAAATGCTTGTACAATATACTGTAACTTACAATGCCTTCAGTAACTTTGTATCATAGCAAACAGATCTTGCAGATCATCCAACACTAACAACCTTTAAGTTTCTTAATTGTGTAGTACACTGTAGATTTACATAGTTTTTATATAAATGCAAGTTTTTTATTCACCAACTGTTTTGCTGCCTCATGGAGATAACTCTGTGATGATGACAGACTGTTTATAAAGCTCCTCATCATGTGAGCACCAAACACAACTGACACCTGAATAAAAGTACACTCAGACAAGGTTTACAAAATTGCAAAGTTAGGAGATTCTTGAAATGGGTTAAATTTTCAAGTTTCATTTGCATGGCTGAGAATTTATCCCAGCCGTGGAAGCACAGAGCAGGAAACATCATTCCCTTGACAAGATACCAGTCCAACTTTCCAATACTTTGTCAGCTTAGCTTCCTCAGACATTTTGCAGCCTAATTCCTATTACCCTCCCCATCAAAGAGAATTAGCAATATGAGATTACTGTGTAATCCCTGCAAGGAATCAAAACAAAACAATTGCTCTAGCCAGGTTTTAAAATAGACTCAACCCTGAATCCAACACATTCACCCCCAGTCTGCCTTCACATGTTATATAAAGTCAACTATACAGTGTTAAATATTACACATGAAACAACTGGTGTGGTTTTCAGTCTTGTGAGTTTCTTTTTCATCAGGAGTCAATAAATATGGTAACTTCTCACCTCCTTTTCACTGAGTTGAGGCAGTATTTTCTTGACTAGCTGAAAACCCAGAAACTTTCTATCATGTGTGGACTGAAACAAGCCATCTGTAAAGAAACAGTGAAATCTTATGATTAAAAATGAACAGAAATGACTGTGAATAATACACATGTAACAAAAGAATTTGGCAACTCTGAATGACTTTCTTAAAATCATTTTCTTATACTAAATGTTTACTTAGCAATACACAGTGACTGTAAATACTGTGGCTGAAAATCATCTCATATTAATTTCAAACAGATTATTGTAAAAATAAAAGAAACAGTAACCTGAAATTCATATTAACTATTGTATAAATGAATGTGGTGATAAATCATGTTCTACCTTCAACAACTGTATTCCAAAACATCTCAAAGTCACCAGGTGAATTCTTACATACTGCAAGGAAAATTTCATCCCAAACACAATGGACTCTTGGATGGGACGAGATGGAATCCTAAAACAAGTCATGGACGAAATGGCAAGCAACTGATTAATATAAATTAGTTTTAATTAATATATGTACATGTATATGCATGTTACAATGCTTATGAATATGTAGCAAAAATTTCATCCCAAACACAATGGACAAAATTTTCTTGGATGGGATGAAAGATGGAATCCCTAAAACAAGTTCACAATGAAGATCTGAAGGAAAAATTTTTTGGCAAGCAACTACGGCAAATCATCAATCAAATTATAAATTTGAAATTTTATTTCCAAAATATCATGATACACTGCCAAAATGTAAAACAAAGCTCATTGTTTTCTGCCAAAAAACAACAAATGCTTTTAACTGAAATATCGATTAAAGAAAAAATGCCCTCTCTCTCAACCAATCAGCGCTCAGTAATTTTGCCCTTTATTGATAAGCATGGTAATCATGAGTGGCAGCAAATTGTATTATAAAATAAAAATTTGGATCCTAAAAGTCTGGAGCACCACAATATTCTCCAGCCTCAACCCTCAATTCTCGATCTTTGATTGTTTTGTGGATTGAGGGTTGAGGTTTGACTTGACACCATCAACTTACTTTTGAGCAGTATTGTGTACATCATTTTTCTGACAAAAGATATCTTTGATAATTGTAGTAGTTGTCAAATTCAATTAACTAAGAGGAGATTATTCTGACATAGAACTGGAATAGGTCATAAAATGATGATTTTGACAAGAGCATGTACCTGTAAGACAGTGTACATCTGCTTGTAATTTTGTGTGTCAGCTATGAGTGGACTTTTCCATGCAACCTTTATCACTTTCTTATCCAAATGCTCCTGAGGCAAGGAAAGGATATTAACAGTTAAACAAATAATTAAAATGATTCCCTACTTTTTTGTTTCTTACATTCAGTTTTATCATTTATAATGTAACAATGCATTGATGAAATATTTGCACATGCAATTGACTCAAGGAACATACACAACATGACCCTAGGAGATAAAGTAAAATGTCTTCGGGATATTCACCCAAATAAAAATCAGCCTTAAGATTTTAAAAGTTGACAAGCGTTTGTCAACGATTAAGAGTCAGCTATATCATTTGCTATCAAATAAAGGTGCATTTTACAATTAATGCCATTTCAATACATACCTCCCAGAATCTCTGAAGTGCTAGGGAAATAAGAAGTGTCTCAGGTGTAGCCTGTGTCCAGCCACTTTCAAAGATCTCCTTCACAGATGGATACACACAATTTTTAAAAACATCCTCAGACACCTGGAACCAAATCATTAATCACTGTTTCATGTATGCAGAGTATGTCATGGTTCAGATTTTGTTTAGGTTTCATATTTTTATTCCCCTTTATCTTGAAATCATTGTTATACTCTCACACAGAAGAAAACGATTTCAAATTGAAAATTCTAAACCAAGAATCTTTCTTGAACCCCACTTCTTGACATATTTTGCAGTTGATCATAATTTCAGGTGAAATTGTTTCAAACTAGTTTTGATTTATTTTTTCTTTGCTTTACACCTATGATAATGTGCTTGGAAAAAAGAAAAATACATTTCAAAATAATTTTAAATCAGATTGAGTCCCTTACACTCAGTTTCAACTAAAACATAAAATGTAATTACATGATCAAGTCTACCACATCTACACATAATGGACCACTCAAACATGTATGTAGTATGATATTTGCTGTGAGCAAATAATCATCAATCACATGTACCTGTGGCTCAACATCAAATGATTAATTACATATACTGCAACTGATATTAAAATAAACATGAAGTGACTGTAAAGTCTATCAATATTCTGGTTATATGGTCACAAATAACAACACATGTTAGTCAATATTCACCTCACCTAACAAAATTTCACAACATTAATATTCATAATTTACATATAGTCATGCAATTGTGCCATTCTATTCCCATGATGAACGCATTCTTAAAGATATGACACTACAGTGACTGATTTCTGTTTTATCACAAAAGGTTACACAGGTATTACTCACCAAAGGAAATATGTCTACAATGACCTTGGCACAGAGCTCCTGTAAATAACTCTTCTTTTTGCTTAGTTCAATAACTTTGGAAATGAGCGGGCTCAGCCAGTTTGAGTCAAGGGTCTAAAAGCAAAGAAAAATTGCAATCAAAACAATTCCTTTGGGTGACAATTCAAAGACTGCTGAGTTTGAAATTTCCCTCCCTCTTGTGAATGAAATCACCAGCATTTTAAAACAACCATTAGTAAATTTAAAAAAGGCAAACTATTAGAACTAAAAACTATTCTGGTACAGATAACACTTACAGAGATTTTATCATGATCACATTGGGACCTCAACACAGACACCATGCCAAATAACTGCCCTATGTAACGATCTCTTTCTTCCTGAAGCGAAAAACAACAAGTTATGTAAACATACATGTAAATGGGAACAGCATCTTGATATGAAATGAAACACTTGGTAAAAAAGAAATATCGAGAAAAATTAGTTAAAAGTATAAAACAACCCATCTCAATCTCTTTAAATAATCTGTACCGTGGATATGGCGCTACCAGTGACCTCTAAATTTTCACCAATTAATTTGAGCACTCTTTCGGGAGACAGAGAAACAAACTTGGAGAGGACTTCTGTCAACACTGTTGCAAATCCTTGCCTAGCTCCCTTCCTCGAAGAAGCTAAACCTTTTACAAGCCGTTTTACACTGTATTCCAGCTCGTCACAACAAAAATTCTTGTCATCGTCGTTGGCATTATCCTCTACCTAACATTGTAAACAAAGACAGTTCTCGTGAGTTACGTGCATAAAATACAACAGCTGGGTAGCGTAACTTAAGGTGGATTTTTAGACCTTCTTCCTTCTGGATAATTCATATCTCCGACGCGAAATATTACGCAAGCATGAGTTTTACATCTACCACGATAAAGTGTCCTCACAAGTGAGTACATACAGTTTTGTTACCTCGACTTTTTCTTCGTGGTGCATTTGAGCTTCGTGTAAAGAATCTAACAGCTGTGAAGCTGCTTTCAGACGGGTAGTTTCGTCATTTGACGCAAGTTCCCAGAAACGCGAAATAATATTTTCTGAAGGCATCTTTCGGATTCCCAGTTTTAAGCTTTAAAAAGAGAGTTTCGGCATCACTCACACACGTGCAAGAACCGCCATTTTGGATTTGATCGATAAGAAACTGGGAAAGAAGGATACATTTGAGCTGGTAGTTCTGTCAGCGGCCTGTATGCGTTAAGCCTCTTCCGATGGAGAGCATTCTCTGACCCTACTGTAACACGTGCTCTTCACTCGCCATTCTATTTCCGTACAATGAAATTTCTAGGAATTGTTGCAAATCCAGTAGCTGCTAAGAAGGAGGAAAAACTGCAATAATTTGTAACAGATTTAACCATGCTGTCTTCAAGGGTTCTACAGAGAATCACTGGTGCTTCTTCTCAGGTAAACGTTTCTCGCCCTATCAGCTTCTACCCAGTTCTCTTCCTCTCGTGATCTGACCATTTGTTAATTTGTGTGACATAACAAAGTTTACATTTGAATTCAGTGCACTTTTTCACTCCTTCCCTTTCTTCTACTCTAGATTTCAAATTTTTGAAGTCCGTGGTCCCTTGATCTCGTTTAACAGATTTGTGATCGTTCTTAGTTGATCGGAGAATGATTAAAAATGCCATACATGTGTATATTGTAGCAACATATACCCATGTGGATGCAACTTCGAATTTATAAGTTGTGAAAATAAAGCTCATCTGCAGTCTAGGTCTCGTATGTTTGTATGTAGAATACTTCCATATAACTCCAATTTCAAACAAAGTTAAAAGAACAGGAAACAAAAATTAGAAAATAAACGCATCTAGCTGGTTTGAAGTTTTGAGATCATTTTATCCTCCACTCTTGCACTCAAAATTTCTTGTAAAATTCTTCCCAGCCCTTCTAGAGAATGAAAATGTTCCATGTCCATTTGAATCTAATGCACAACACAATTTCCTCATTTGCATTTTATGCATTACTACTGTATAAAGATTTAATTATTTTATATTATGAGGGGGGATTTTCAGTATTGCAGTTTTGGCAATTTTTTTTAGATCGTTTTTTCGGTTTTTGTGCCAAAAACTTTGGTTTTTCAGTTTTGGTGATCTTTGCAGTTTGTGGATTTTCCTACGGCTACATGTAGGGTACAGCTAGGCACGGAACATTGCCAGAGTTTCTTTATCAACACCACCTCAAAATTGGTGACTAAGTTACAGGCCACACGTAACTGATTGATTCAACATTCCAATAGAATCTCCAAACTTTCAGGTCTTAGTTTGCAAATGGAAATGTTAGATTAGGGATTTTTGATGAAACTTTCCAGAGCTAAAGCTTTTTGCGACTGCAAAATTTCAATCCTATTGAGGACTTAAGTGTGAATTTCCTTAATTTAGCTTGGCTCTATTACCAGCTGCTGAGTCCACAGAGACCACAGTCTAGGTCCTCAAGAGAGCAGCTGTTAATTTAAGCTGATACTAGAAGATACAAATGCCAAGTCCATGGCATTCATAAATCCTGTAATGAAATTAGTGTAGTTTACTTTGTATACTCCACTTATCACCATTGTATCAGATCGATCAGGGTTTTAATAACTGGGGTGTGAAAATGTATTGGTTTTGACAATTTTGCATGTGGTTTCCAGTTTTGATAAAATATTTTTCAGTTTTTTCGTTTTGGATGATTTTTCTATGGTTTTGCAGTTTCTAATGGGCCCCAATGCCCCCCTCTATAATCTATTATAAATTGCAGAATTTTCAGTCAAAGTTTGCCATCAGAACCATGGCATATGGCTACAGCAGGACAAAGAAAAAACTTCCTGTCAACACTGTAAGTGAAATTGCTACAACAGTTATTATTATGTTCTGCTGAATAAATGCATACAGTAGAGGAATATGCCTAAGACAGAGATCATGAACCACCAACAACCTCAATTGATTTTATAAAACAGATGTGGTCATCTGAGGCAGATTAACTGATAATAAAGAATAATTGATTGTCTCATGATGTAGTCACCCTCAATATGGACCACAAAATTTCCATTATTAACTGCCAGTCTTTTAGGCTATGAGCTCAACTGGATAAGCTAATCCAATCAGTGTCGTAGCCTGGAGAAGACTAGCAGTGTGCCATTGAGATTTCACCACTTAGAACAAAGAAAATGACTTCTTTGTCATATATGTGACTAAACTTTATTATAACCTCAATCTAATCTCACTCTCAAACCATCACAAGTTCTTGTGATGCATCATGCCACATTTTTCTCTTTTAATATCCCATCTGCAAGTTATTTCCCTAATGTTTGGCAAAATCTGGTTCACTCTGCTAACAAAATTGCTGCACCATGTTTGTTTATCAAAACAGGGTAATTTGTAACTCTGCACTGTAACTCTTTTAAAGAGAGAGATGTCAAGGAGACGTTTTAACCAAAATATTTCAATCATCTTATTGATTGTGGCTTTTTATGCATATGCCTTTATTGAACGATGTTTCTTATTTTAGGTGGTTAAATTTGTTCCTCAGCAAGAGGCTTGGATAATTGAAAGATTTGGTAAATTTAACAGAATCTTGGAACCAGTAAGTACAAACTTATTATGCAAGAAAAAGGTATTGAGCTTTTAAGAAAAACTCCCCTTTTAATGCCATTCCCACAGAATTATAATACAATCTTGTATTGTCAACTAACTTTCTCTCCAGGGTCTTGCTATTCTCCTTCCAGTTATTGATGATATTAAATATGTGCAAAGCCTAAAGGAAATCGCCATTGAAATTCCTTCACAGTCTGCCATCACGCTTGGTAAGAACTTAAGTTGCTCTTAAGTATGTAGATGCACCTTAGGAAACAAGAACTAATTGTAATATTACAGTTGTAGTCCGGTGATAAAACTTTTTTTAGATACTTTCTTCTTTGTGTTTATTTGTTTGTATTTTGGAGTTAAATAGTTGTCTGATAACTAAATGTAATAGCATCTGATAACTTGATTGTATTGCAAGTGGGCCGAAATCTTACAGTTATTACAAGTTTAAATTGATTTGATTTAATTTAGTGTTTTCCTTTCCTCGTTCTACTTTAATTTTTGTGGGTACTTTCTTGTTAACTTTATAAATTACTAACTGAAGGTAACTCATCACTCTGAACATTGTGGTTGTTCATCATAGATAATGTCACTCTTCATCTTGATGGTGTGTTGTATCTGCGAGTGGTTGATCCATTCAAGGTTGGTTTTATATGATTTTTCTTCCAGACTGTGAACATTTCCTCTGTTTTTCCACAAAAACCATAAGATTGTACTGTCAGTTGGTATGACTGATCTGCCATTATTACTGACAAAACTACTTAATATGTAGAGAATAGAACACAAAAACTTTGCACCCAAAACTCTTTTAACAAGTTAGAGTAGTTTTGTTGCTACAAACCTCTTCTTACTCAAAATTTAACGGAAGATGTTGGCTCAACTATGGAACATGATAGCTTGGAAATTTAGTCCAAGATAAAAACTGACCAGCTGTTAGCAGTTAGGTAATGTCCTCTGTATTTTGAGTATTAAAAAACAAATGTTGAGTTTTGCTAACTGGTAAGGAACTTTTCCAATGGAAAGTGAATGTAAGAGAATAAACAGAACTAGTGTCCAGCAAATTAAATATATTTATTAAAAAGAAAAATTGGCTTTCTTGGTAATAACTTTCAATGCAGCTACTGCAGCAAACAGTTTAATTTGCTTGTACTGTTTGTGGATTATTTTGGCTGCAAAATTAAAAATTTTTGTCGCTATCTTGGTGCATTCTATGATAATACACTGAGACGAAGCAAACTGATATTTTTAGTACTCAAAACTGAGCTTTAAATCATTGATAATATTTTTTAGAACCTTATGATCTTGAGTTTTGTATTTTTTGTCAAATACTAGGCTTCGTATGGAGTGGAAGACCCAGAGTATGCTGTGACGCAGTTGGCTCAGACGACCATGAGGTCTGAATTGGGTAAATATCATGTCACCGAAGTATTAAGCTAAGATTTGTACATGTACATCTAGTCTGAAATTCCCATCATGTCTGAAATTCTTTGAAATGTTCCTGAGTCTTGTTACTCTTACATTGCAGGTAAAATAAGTTTAGATCATGTCTTTCAAGAACGAGAAAGACTGAATCACAACATAGTAGGTGAGATTTAGTGTCTTCCTGGGTGATGCTGTAATCTTGAAAAGAGGAAGATTTGCTAAAAGAAAACCGCAGTCAGCAATTGAACATGTTAAAACGTTGATTCAGCTTTCCACTAAATAAGTTGCTGTACTGTGGCTCAGGTACCAGTATGTGATAATTGTTAGTCACCACAGTGTATGTAGAAAGTCTATCTGGTAAAAATGAAGTGCCTCTCCCCTCAGAAAATTTCTGACAATATTTATGTGTGTGAACTGCCTCTTTTTTACCTACAATTGGCTAAAACTTTTGATAGCTGTTGGTGCAAAAATATCCTGTAATTGGCTATCTAGATTTAAAGGCTATGCCCAAACACATTTGAAACAAGAAAGGAACATTGAAGAGACACTTACCTGTCTCTCATGAATCTGTTAGTAAACAGTCAATTGAGTAAGCACATGGTGCATTTATTGCCAAGTAATTGGACTGAAAGAAAGGGAAAAAATACTGTTTAACAATGATGATATATATATTGTAAGGTGTGTGCACTTTGTTTTTTTTCAAATTCTGAACTTGAATGGTATCTTTTTCCCTTTAGAGGCCATCAACCATGCTGCTGAAGTTTGGGGAATAAGATGCCTGAGATACGAAATCCGTAAGTGTAACAGTACTGTTTACTGTATATTGAAAAAAGGTTGGGGTATGGTTAGCTTGTTTCAGCGGCTGGATTTCTGGTCTCAAGATCAAGATTGAGATCTGTATGATGTGCCCTTTGTGTTGTGCTCTCACATAAGGTTCTTAACTCTCACAGAGCCCCTCCTGACCTAAGAATATAAAGGGTTGCCAGTGTTCTGTCAGTTAAACCTGAAAAGTGCTGAATGGTCCTTGCAAAGGACCAACATCTTAGCGAGGTGGAGTAGACATACTCCCATGTCATGAAGTGTTATCAGTTGTTTTGTTGGACTTAACCCTTAACACCCAGTAATCAATATTTAAGTTCTCATACTCTTCTTAATACATCACCTTTGGTATTTATATGGAGAATTTTTCTAATAATCAAGGGCTTCTTGAGTTTGCCATCATTTCCTTTATTGTTACAACCTTATTGGGAGAAATTAGATGCTTATCGATTGAAGGGATAAAAGGGTTAATGTCAATGTTCAAGAAATATGATGGATGTGAGGCTTTTGAGGACATGCAATAATTTCTTTTTTTCAGGGGATATTCAGCTTCCAAACACAGTAGTTGAGGCTATGCAAATGCAGGTATGGCAAATTTCTTCAGTTGACACTAAGACTTAAAATGGTACAAGTAATGAAAATATTAGAAAGTATAAGAGGCACTCAGATTACCCAAACCCTCCAGGTTAATCATTCCAATCTTCCTCTTCATCCTCAAAAAGTGTAGCCAGTCAATGACAGGGCGTGAAATTAACTTTTTTTTCTGATAGCCACTTGGCTCCTAAATTCTTCAAAGTGGTAGCCAATTCAAAAAAGTTGGTCGCCATTTTCAAAGACAAACAAAATCTTTCTTTACGCTGTCAGCGTTCTAGATAGACCCTCCAAAATTACGTTAGGGAAAAGATTCTTTAACGTGCTACAAAGTGGACACTAGGATGGATGATATACAAAGTTCAGGCTCATCTAAATCCAAGATGGCGTCTAGTTATCGATCGAGATGCATGTGCTACGTTTTGGAAACAAACTTAACGAGGAAGATTGCCGCGGATTTATCTTTGCAAGTCTTTTTAATTCACTATATCTCTTGGTAAGGTTATGATGAAACGTTCTATTCGCCAATTTGGCGACTAACTTTCAGGATTTGGTCGCCAAAGTGAAAAATTTAGTCGCATTGGCACCTGTATTAGGCGCAATTTCACGCCCTGAATGACTATGAAAAATATCAAAACACCATGGAAAACTGCAAGTATCAAGCAATTTTGACTGCCACGCTTAGCCCAATGTAATAATATCTTGCTAAAACAGCAGCTACTGCAACAAACAGTTCACGTTGCTCTGTGCTGTTTGTGGATTACTTTGCTGCAAAAGTTGAAAAAAAACGTTTGTCGCTATCTTGATGTTTTCTGTAATAATGCATTGAGACGAAGCAAACTGAAATTACACCAAATAAACAGCACACATGGACATAAAAAATCGTTTTTTGTGATGCTTTTATAATGAACATTGCAGGTAGCCTTCGTCCGTTACGTCACTCCTCCCCTCTGATTGTTCGTTTGAATCGGAATATTTCCTTACTGTTAACAGTTTCCTTTTAGAACGCTTTTTGATTAAGTGTCGTGAAACCAAACCCAAAGAAATCAGAACAAAGGAAAATCACAAGGCGCCAATGCGGAAAGCAACTATTGCCTGATGCGCGGGAAAATTTAAGTGATCAAGGCGCGATTGGTTTCAGTTTCGCTTCGCGAAAATCTGAGAAAAATGGCCCCTTGCCACTCCTCTTTATATTTACCAGCGTTGTGTGTAAACGGTTGAACACTGTTGCTAGCTAATAAAGACATTTGAAGTAATTTCTGTATTCTATCGGCTCAGGTGGAAGCTGAGAGGATGAAACGTGCTGCAGTGTTGAAATCAGAAGGTAAAAAAAAAACATAACACGTATTTCTAATACTTCTCTCTTGCCTTTATTAGCAGCATAAAGTCCTTGATAATTATTAACGGTGTCAATTGCTTTTTCAGAATTTATTTGTACCGTTTTGTTGGCTTTTAGGTGAAAGAGAAGCCGCCATCAATGTCGCAGAAGGAAAAAACAAAGTCAGATTTTAGCATCTGAAGCAAGGAAGATGGAACAGATAAACATTGCTACTGGTAACTTGCTGCTTTCTACATTTCTCTGAATCACCAAAGGTGGCGTATGTCTAAATCAACACAGTAGCTTTGCGCGTAATGTGCAAACAGCTGCACACGCGTAGAAAATCTTTTAGCGAGAGTAGAAAACAGAAGCGGGTGTAAAGATGACGTTAGGGCGAGAATGGAAACCGTTCGCAACTGTTTACGCCCATGGAAAACGTGTGCGCGCTGTAATGAAACGATTGTGCTTGTACAGAAAACGTTTACACGAGAAAAGGAAAATAAGTTTAATTTGACATATGTAACCTTTACCATACAGGTGAAGCGAATGCAATTGTTGCAAAGGCGACAGCTCGCGCGGAAGGAATTGAAAAAGTCTCTTTGGCCCTTCAACGGCAGGTGTGTTCGAGTGCGTTTGCTTAAAAGAGCCGTGTTTATTTTTTGTGATGAGGTATGATACTTCCAATAGGATGTATGTAAACAAGAAAACTGCACCTGGAGAACAAGGAATAAAATGCTTCTCCTCCTCCGAGGTTCAAAGGAGAGACCTCCATGTTTGTACACTCAATCCTTTGACTCCTAATAGTGACCGGCATCTAATTTCTCCTCACAATATCACCCCTGAAGCACACATTCAGGTCACGAGAATAAAGGAAATGATCACCTACTAAAGAAGTGAATTGTTAAACAAATTCTCCCCGTCAGCACCTTGGGAAATGTATAGAGAACAGTATGGAGAATATGCACACTGATGCTGGGATGTAAAGGGTAATATATTCGTAGACGTAGCGTAATCTACTGATGGGTCATTTGTTTTTTACATCACGCATTTAAGAACATGTACGTTTGCAGTTCTTGTGTTTTTGTCGGTAGTCTCTAGGCAGCATTACTCAGGAGTGAACGTTAGCAATGGAAGCTTTTCCGCCTTATCTCGTCTATTAACAGATTGCAATGGGAAACATTTTTGAACCAATTCACTGATCTTCTAGTTAGGTGAGAGAGCAGCTACGCTCAATGTCGCTGAACAGTACGTGAAGGCATTCTCTAATCTGGCTAAAACAAACAACACGGTGGTGTTACCAGCTAATGTGGGAGACGCGGGTTCAATGGTGGCACAGGTGAGAGCCTTTTTACTAGTATTGTTCATAGACAACTGTTACAAAGGCAGCACATCTGGGTCAAAACTTATGGGTTTTTTGAGTAACTTGCGAGTAGGTACCCATTATAAGTGTTGCGTGGCGCGGGTTTTCCGTCCGCGGGGAGATTTGAAACGAAGAAACGCTCGAGCCTAGGCTCCAATGATAAAGGCCTATTTGCCCAAGTGACGAGTGCTCTCTGTGTAAATCTATTAGGATCCTTAACTGTCTGTTCAGTTTAAGCGTCTGTATAACTGTCTGTTTGTTTGTTCGTATGGTCATTATTTTTCTTTAACTGGTCTTACACAGCTTTATTAAGCTCTTTTACCTGCGCAGCTCAAGAATCAAACAGTGCTCACTTAATACCATGTTTGAGTTCTGGCGGCTGTTAGAGAAACGAAGTGTCGCTATCTTGCTGTGTTTAGCCGTAGGGCATTGAGACGAAACACGCTTACTTCCGTCTATAAATTGTTGAATCATCGTCGTTACTGACTTAGAGACGTTACAATGTTGCCCTATCATGATAAAGGTTTTGTTAAAGAATGGATTGATTCCGGGCTCAGCATCCTGTTACTGGCAGTTGTCAACTTGTCAAAACGATTTCTGTTGGAAAGTGAAATTTGGGAAATGCTGTTCTGGGAATGAATTAGAGCATTCGTCTAGGGCAAAAAAAAGTAGTCGTTACATCTCATCTCTTCTGTTGCTTTACAGGCTTTGGCGGTTTATGGCCAGGTCACAGGGAAGCCTAAGAATGACCCCCCACCCTCTTCCGGTGGGTTAACCGATTCTTCAACAGATAGTGCGAGCGCAGGCGGCGACCAAACACAGGAGGGAGGTGACGGGGACACGCAAAAAGACAAATCGTCTGCTTCTGCTGCAAGAGATTTTCGGCAAGTCGAGGGTTCTCCAGCGGATTCACACATGAGATGGAACCCAGTCTCTTCAAGATCACACTTCACTGCGGCTTCTTCACCAACTCGCGCACGAGACTTTTCGTAAATTTACAATTAGTCTATCCCGCGTTGTTCACGCAATTTCATCAAGAAATCGAGCATAAAGCAGAACTGCCATGAACCCGTTCACGCTGACTTAATGCGCTACATTTGAATCAAATTTTTCAGGCGCAAGCTAAATAAAGGTCATTATTGAAGGACGTTCATCAGAACTAAACAAAGAAGTAATCCGGGATAAAAGACGCCTTTTGGCAAGAGTACCGAAATTTCCTCTGGAGATGATATTTTTAATTTTCATGATAGTTCGTACCTACTTTATTAACAAGATGAAATTAACAGGGGATTCTTTACTAATTTAACACTTGGTGCGACTAATTTGCGCGAATGGGTCGCTTGGCTACTGTTGCATTTGTGTTATCAGGGCAGAGTCGCTGAAGAAATTTGCCTCATGAAACTCTTGATTAATGTGAAAAGATGGCGCGAACGTCGCTCCAAGGTGAAGGGAGTGCCTACACCTTTGCGACATAATAAAAGCATGCCATTATGTTGAGGATTGAATTTCAAACAAAATCAGTTCACAAGGCTAAAGAGTTTCGTGATGAAGCGTGAGTGGTTTTAACTGAGCTATGAGAGTAATCCGGGATTGTATAGGTAAAACCGATAAAACTTGGACGCTCGCGTTTTTACGCAACTCACATCGATTTCCTTCGTTTTATAAGCTTCTTTTGTTGTTTTCCTTGTCGTTTTGAACAGTTTCGAGTGCACGAAACCAAATTGAAATGGCTCCAAGACCTACAAAGTACCCAATTCTTTCATTCTTGAAGGTCTCACTAGCAGTTGTTGTTTGGTTTTGGCACCCAGCGCGCTCCCTAAAGATGTATCAACGTGTTGCGACAGGTTGCCTTCATTACGTGACTGGATTAAACAGCATGACTAGTTAAAAAGGAAACGATGAGTTGGCCTGCTTTCTAACAATAATCTGCCCATCCCCAACAAGCTCTTTGCAGCTGGTGATCACATGACACTGTCAGTCAAAAAATTAATGAAAAGCTGGTCAAAAGTCTGTAGATTAAGTAAAAGGAAAGAAAAAGAAATAAGACTGCGAAAACCCATGATTACCTCATGATAGAAATGGAAGTAAAATTAATTCAGAGAAAATAAGTATGCCTTGTCTTTTCTCGTTGACCAGAGTCTTCATCGACCAGTAAGAGTTGTCGATACGGATGATACGATTGACAATTTAAATTTCAGCCAGGGTCCAGTGGTACCGGTTGTCAGTTCAGAAGCTTAAAAAGGTATCTTTGTAATTCCGAGTTACTTATTGAAAGTTACCCTGAACAAGAAAGGCGAGTCCACATTTGGAAATACCGCAATGCCGTGCGGTAAATTGCTTTCGATGACATCTCTCAAAAACCCCAAACCGGTTATCCAAACAATATTTTTGACAACGCAAACAAAACCGAAATCAAAGTAATTTAAATTTCATTGAGTCAGCTGATTTGTTTCACGATATTTGAGCGCTTTTGGGGCGGTTAAATTTAGGACTGATCAACTCTTGAGACTGCCGACAACCTAAAATAGTCAGTTCAACTTAACTTGTAAACAACACCAGGTAAATTATTTACGGCTATTATTAACTAATGGTCAGAGCTGTCTGAACCATACCTCAATCCTTTGTTCTCAGTACTTAATTGCCTTTCAAATGCAAACAAACGATCTGTAAACTCGTCGGCTAATATTTTGTGGTCACGGTTTATTGCGGTTAGAGGACTGCGAGACACTTCAGGCGCAATTCTGTAAATTTTGTACGAACCCTCGATCACGGAATAGTTTTTAGGGTGACAAAGATGTCTTGACCTTTTGCAGAATCGAAGAAAGAAAGGTGAGATCTCCAGATAGAATCGAGGACGACCCATGTTTTGAGTTATTGTGTCAGTTAACACAAATTAAACGCGGTTTTCCGTAGCAGAAGTTCCACCGCGCCGACAGTCAAGGCTGACACTCGAGAGGTAAGCAGAATAGTCAAATTCTCATAGTTTGAAGTTCCTTTAATCATTGCAATTTTTGCCGGAGATAGTTGGCGCTTGATAATTGTAGTTGCAATTGAGTTGAATATGAACTATGAATAGTTTACAAACTCTTAGGTTAGAGAAGCTAATGCAAACACTAAGATCGGCCGACATTGCTGAAATCTCAACGCCGCCAAAACTCATGTACATCGTATAGTATTCGGAATTGCTCTTTAACGATGTTTGAAAAGAATTTTTGAGTTAATTTTTCTAAGAAATCGTCCTGTTGTATTTTAATTAATTCACAAACTGCCAAAAACTATTTGAAGCAATGAGTCAGCGTTTAATTAGGTAACTAAACTCAACAAAAATTCGACCAAGAACTCGGTCGATGTGTTTAAAATATTTGTAACATATTGCCTGGTTTTAATTTAATCGGCTTTAAAGAAAATCTCTTTCAAAGACTTTAATTTAGGGTAACGCAAGACTCATTCTTTTGTCTTCACTCGATCGACAAAGACAAATGAATAATTCATATCTGATGTCTTAAAATATAATATTTTTAATTACTCTTTCTAATTCTTTTTTAACTTTGAGAGTGACACCATTAAAGAGCCGATAGCACAGCCACACAAGTTGCAGGGATGTTAACAACTCATGTAGTATATTGTTTGAGAAAATCGCTTCGCCTTGAACTCTTGGGAAACGAAAGCTGAGGTCGATCGGGAAGGAAAAAAATAACTAAAAAAAGAAACTTTTAGGGACTGCCTAAGAAAATTATGATTGCGAACTCTTTCATTTTGATAGCAACGGAATTTTTTCATTAGCTCCATTTCATCTTAAGCCTTTTATCTTGAAAACGATAATATGCCAGCGCATTGTTTGCTCAGCACTTGAACTCTCAGGCTGGTTTTAAGAGCGAGCATAAATTATCCGCAGTGTTTAGTCAACTTTGTCCTTCGCGAGTTTGGCTTGTTTACATTGGCTATATTTACCGTCAAAAAAAATTCAACTTCTGTAGTTTACATTCTATAAGCAGTAGCCTGTCTTCGGAGCTCCGCATTTGGCTAAGCTGTTTGTTTCTATGCAACTTAGCGATATTTTATTACATGTACTATTCACGACAAGCGTTAGCTCGCGATGAGCGCGTCTAGCCTTAGTTGAGTCGAAACGAAAAGTGAGTTGACAACGGCAAATCTGGTGGAGAAACGGATAGATAAGTTGAGAATAATTGTATTTTATGATTATGAGAAAATCTTTGTCAAAAAGGAATTATGTGAAAGGAATTCCACTCCTTTCTTTCCATTCTTTTCGGTATTTCAATCCTTTTAGTCTAAAAGTAACATGTTTAGAAAGCATCACGAAACTTATCAAGAATGTGCGTAGCTAAAAATATGGACAAGGACGAAGAAATTTATCAAAATGGCACAAAACTCCGATGAAAAAGGAAAAAAAGAAAAACGAAACATGTTCATCTACAGGGGTCAAGTTTCTACAGAAAATGTGGTGCTGCGTTGGTGGTAGACATCACCTGAGTTGATACTGTAAATTGGCCACCGTTGGTTGGAGTTTCTCAAGCTGACTTTCGGACGTTAGATCTTCGTCATTCGCTCTGACCGAAAAACTTTCGGACGTTAGCTTTAAAAAACTCCTTACTTTGGCCAATTTACATTATCAGGCTTATCTAAAGGTTTTGTCTTTTTCAGCTTATGGATGAAAGCAGTTCGTCTGCAAACCCAGGGTTAAAAGAATGACTGGCCTTCTGGCTTCACCAACCAGCCGCTCCCAACCAGAGAAGGTCGCCGAGGTCTTCTTCCTTGGTATCTTGTTTGTGATAGCTTTTGTGGCAAACAGCACCATATGTTACGCCATGCTACAGCCCTACCGTTTAAAGACCTCTTCAAATCTCTTCCCTTTCTCGTTAGCAGTTGCCAACCTTAGTTTAGCCCTCCTGCACACTCCTTACACCATGGCATCGTTAATAGTGGATCATTGGCCATTCGATATCGCATGGTGTCAAATATCAGGCATGCTGATAAATCTGGTATCAATGGCGTCCAATTTTTCCATAGTACTTATTGCAATTCATCGTTATTATCTCATCGTCAAGCCTCTATCTGACACAATAAGTGTTCGTCGAGCAAAAACAATGGTAGCATTTGTGTGGTTCACGTCGTTAGTGACCGCCGTTCCACCCTTATTTGGTTGGAATTCATACAGATATATTCCTGGCAAAGCATTTTGCTCAGTCGATTGGCAAGATGGCGGACCGGACCTGGTGTATTCTGTATATCTCGTGGTGATTAGTTTTTTTGTGCCACTCGGGATTCTTTTCTATATCTATCGTGCTATTTATTTGAAGACAAAACGTCAAAGAAAAAAGACGGACTACAATACACTTCGTGGACTGAGTGATCAGGGTAGTTTTACCTATCAACGTTCGCAAACTCTGTATCAGAAACTGGCATGTTGCTTATCGAGGAACAATTCACAAGGTAGTAATTCCTCTCCTTCTACTTCGGAAAGAGGAAATGTCTCTTCACCGGCCACATCGAGGTCGTATTCCTTCGAGCTATCTCCCTCGAGGAGAGACAATGCCCTCCAAAGGGAAGAAATGAGAAGGCGAAGAGAAGTTATAACGCGAAGTCTAACGCGGCAGAGTTCCATCTACGAGCAGAAAACGGTGCAGAATGCTCTTGTTCTGCTTTTAACTTTTGTCACTAACTTGGCACCGTATTACATCGTCGGTATTTGGTCGGGTGCTTCTCAGAAGACCGCTTCCAACGGGTTAGATTTCTTTGTGACATTTTTGTTTGTTTGCATGACAGCTATCAATCCTATGCTGTATGGGTTTTTTAATCGCCAAATAAGAAGAGTTGTTCTCAAGTCTACGATAGGCCAGTTCGCTTGTCAGCTATGTAAATGTTGTGATAGTGATTTAGACACCAGGCCTGACGCTGCCACAACTAGACGAGGAAGAAATACCCTGGGACCAGATTCCGAATGTTAATGGGGTTCAGGAACAGGAAAGTATTTATAATAGTAACTGAACTAAGTGCAGTACAATTTGGCCTGAAATCATATGCGTAATTTCAAAATCAAACGAGTGCGCAGCACAAGTTTGATGTTAAATTACTTGTATGATTTCAGAACAAAATTCCCCGACACAAAGTTCAATTACTACTTTATTACATCCATTTTGAAATCGCAAAATTCAGTTGGTCAGATATAGGATTTTAGTCCGTAAAAATATCGTACTGATCCAGTAGTGAGCTGGTTCGTAGAAAGTTGCAAAAGCTGTTTTTCATTTTGTTGCAATTTGTTTGGTTTCTTTGAACAAACCTCGAGATCTGATTAGTTGTTGTATCTTGGTAAAGCTTCCTCGTTCGCTGAGGGAAAGATGCGATTTAGAGCAAAACGTGGTGCGATTCGTGAATAAATCGCACCAATAAGAGCTTATCAGAATGCAAGGATCACCACATATATTAAAATGGATGTAATCTAAATCTTCTTGATTTAGCTCGGGTCTATAACAAGAAAGAAGAAGAATTTCGATAAAAGATCAGAAGTGCGATTGAAGAGACACACTAGAAGACATAGTTTACAAATCGTAAATACAAGTATAATAGATTTTAAACGCAGTGGAAGGAAAATAGCTATAAAGTGGTTATTTATTTTCAAGCCTCTATTTATTAAAGAACGACGAAATATTTTGAAAACCTTGAGTTTCTTTCGGTAATGAGTATTGTCTTTTAAACTCTGTAAAATTTGGTTGAAAGGTTTTTCTTGGCGTGGTGTAGATGAAAAACCAATGTGAGTTTTTGTTCGACGAGCCTCCTTGTTAAAAAAAAACTGACATGTCCGTGTTGGACAAGGATGAACAATTTACACAGTTCTTTATACGATATCAGGACAGACCTTTCTGTGTGGAGTAAAGAGAAGTTTCGGCGAGAAAATTCTTGGAGCAATCCTGGCGAATATCTAGCAAAGGAAAGCTCTTTCTCCTCTTCCTATGGTAGTATGTGGAACCTTACTTTGTGCTCACACCATAATTATCTGCCGGAGTTAACGTTGAGACTCGACTATCACTCACAAACTAACATGGATCACTTTTATGCCAAAAAATACCTCTTTTTGTAATCCTTGCATCGAAAGAAAGCTATAATGATAAAAATACCATATATAGGTTACCGAGCACGTCTTGCTGAATTAAGCGAAGAACTTAATGGGGCTTGCGCTAGCTGTACACTTTGGCTCCTCATTCTGCTGCCTCTCCTTCCCGGGGAAAGGGCCCTTGAGGAGCTCACCGGAGGTGCCAGTTGGTTTTGTTTCGGCCTAGGTGCGAGTGACGCTCTCTTTCCACGTGCCCCTTCAACCTGAAGTCTGCTCGGGGAATCCCTTGCTGTTGAGCGGATTTTCTCTGGTTTTGGTGGTGGTGGATTAAGCCGCTCTAAAAAAAACATGGGGAACATTTGCAATCAAGTTGCAAATTGAAAACAAATGAAGGCAGAATTTTGCAATTTTATCAATATCTACGATAGCTGCAGGTTTCTTATAAACTCGATACAAACTCAAATCAAGTGCACCTCGGTCCGCACGTTTTCCGGCGTTTTCAATACAAGAGGACGTTTAATTTGCATGTATTCACTTTGTTCTGATTGGCTGTGTTGGCTTGTTTCCTTTTGGTTTTGCGATGATCAATTGAGAAGCCTGCTAACATCAGATTTTAAACCACTTACCGAGAAATGCCTTATTTGTCTCCATTCCTTCCAGTAACGGTACAAACGTCATATTTTCTCCGTCTGTTTCTATTGCAAAACAGGAGGGAATAATAATTAGGTTAGAAACTATGACTAGAGGCTAAGAGGAAAGAATAAGCGAGGTTGTAAGGTAAAAAACACATAATTGCAAAACTTACTCTCCCCTTTTACAAGAATAAGAATCTCTCTTTCATTCAAGTATTTTGTCCCATAATCCATTGGGTGACTTTGAAGATTCTTTAGCGATCCACTTTCATCAGAGAGGTCGATGAAATCTGAAGGAAAATTTTGTTGTACAGTTAAGTGGTAAATTCTCCCGTACCATGTCTAACCCTGGTATTAAATTAATCTTAAACTTACGAATGGACGTAGAACATACTTGAATAACTTAAAATAAATGAACTTTTCGAATGAGTGTCGTAAAGCCCAATTATAGTTATAATTCAAAAAGCCAATCAGAAGAAAGGAAAATATCCTAAAGAGCCAATGAGAATTCAAAATAAAAACAAGCAAACCGCCTAAAGCGCGGGAAAACGCGGGCGACCAAGTTGTGATTGGTGATAGTTTTGCATGTGATTGGTTGAGAGAGTAGCGCGTGTTTTCTGGACCAATCACGGTAGAGCAAAACCCACTCAAGTTTTAAAGATTTATTGGTGGGTAAAGAATACCGGCAGGCAATATGGCGAACGATCGTGAAAGTAACAGGTAGCCAAGTGCCATATGCAAATTAACCTTTCTTCAAGAGTAACTCTGTAGGTATTCGTCTTGATTCTTTAGATTTTTTTCATTTCCTTTTCCAGTATCATATATCATCTTCGAACGTTTCATTCAAAAATTTTTTTAGAAATGTTTTAATTTTCAAGCGCGATCCTATTCTAGTATCGAAATCTTCCCTTGATCTAGCTCTTGTGATCCTCCCACGAATTGGATCATCGTTTAAATAAAAAAAACAATTGACGTCTTTTTATGAGTCAGTTTCCTTTTAGGTGTGTTCACCCACTCCTTCCTGAATGGATTCAGCGACGAAGAAACGCAATTGTCATTAACGCACGCAAAAACCGCAGAAGCGGCAAACGGTGTTTTCTATTCAATATCATGTCGAGTGTTATCTTTTACAAGGAATCCCGCCGAAGGCACTATATCTAGGTTCCACGTATTTTGGCAATTTTCTGCCAATAATTCTTGTGAACTGCCGACGAAGTTTCTAAGTTCTGAATTTTATTATGTCTAAATATTGACATGAATTTCGGATGGGGTCAAAAAAAATTTCAAAGTTTTACATCCATGCTAAAGTTTGAGAAAAAAAACTCTCTTTTCACCGTCATCTTCACAGTCACATCTTTCTTTGATATTGCTCAGCAGTAGGCAATTTCTGCAATTCGGGTTGAAAAGTTCGGTTTTGTCATCTGAAAAAAAATTGAATCAGTCAAACAATTTGAGAATAAATAGAATCTACATATGTATGGAATAAAACGTGGGAATTGACTTACTGATCTTCCAATAAGCCCTCGGATAATCAATAAATTTTCTGGTGCGTGAACAAAGATTTTTAACATGAAATTGTGAACAGGAAATGATTTGTGTAATTTCGCTGACAATTTCAACACATTATGATTAAGCCGAAAGGTAAACACATCGGGCATCTTCCTAGTAAATAGAAAATCTATTTACGGTCGAGGAAATGACTTAATTTCCATATCGGACGGTTGTATTTCCAATATAATTTTATTCAGTCCTGATTAAAAAGACAGAGCTGGGAAACCTTTTGGTCAAATTATAACGGTAAAGATTCCCCATAAAATCCTTGAAAAAAGTCCTTAAGTACTTCAAAAAAAAATTCATTGTTCAATTAAAGACCTTTAAGGTTATTCACCCGCCTGTGGAGCACAATAAAGCATTTTTCCTTTAGCCATTTTTGAAAAAATTCTCAATTGCGTCTAATGCATCACCTCGAAATGATGATCCCCTCGGTGCTCAAGAATTTTTCGTGTGGTTCTTTTCAGTAGCGCAATATGTTAACCGTATTTTCGCAAGCAAGTCGATATTTATTAGTCAATGTGCCTGAAAATTTCACCAAACCTGCAAATTTCACTGTTATGAACATGTTGTGGAGACTTTGGTTGAATCACTCTTTCGAAGGAACCGCTGCGAGTAGAAGGTCAGTTTGGGGAAATGACAGGCCCAAGCGAATCCTTGTTTCTTTTCTCTGAGGAATACTGCTAGAAAATAAAAGACACCTCACCGCCAATGTTTGCCTTAGAAACGTGAATTATACCCTTAGTGTATTTCTGCACCTGCTATTTCAGCCTCGTTCTCAGCGCTTAAGCCTCGTTCTCAGCCAACCGTCACTCTCAGAAGTCTGGCTCGAGATATCATTTTAAAATGGCCGCGATGGCCGCCGCGAGGTGTGTCATCAGCTGTAGATCCTGAAGCATTCTGCTGTTGGATATAGCATTGGTCTTTACTAGAGTAAAAGTTTCAAACGTTTACAACAGATTGAGAAATCTTTTAGCGCCAATAGTGGTTTTGCACGCAATGTGGCAAGATATAAACAGAGAATTCGAAGCTCTTTGTGGAGTTGGAGGAAAACACCAACATATGTATTCTGTGTTCTTTGTAGATCTTGCGGCTCATGACGGCGAATGGAGGATGAGAACGGGAAATTGGAAGGTTCGGCTAAAGATCTTGACGCGGCATCTTTGAAAGATGATAAGATCGTCGAATTGAACGATCAAATAACCGAGTTGAAACGCGAACTAGAGGCAGCTAGTAAGAAACTTCGGAAGGCTGAATTTGAACGTGATAGCGCACAAAGGAGTGTGGAAAATCTCAAAACTGAAGTGAGAGATTTAGGAAAAAAGCTGCAAGAAGAGAGAAAGAAGACTTTAGAGGGAAGAAATAAAAGCAATGATCCTCTACAGGCTGAAAGCACGACACAAGGTTTTCTGCCACTTGTTTGCTTGTTTCTTAGTAATTGATATACATATCTGTGTGTACCTTTTCTTTGCAGATGAAGTTTCGGTTAGTCACTGTGGTGATACTCTGGCACTAAAGTACAGTTACTTTTCTAACAACGGAGTTACTCCCAATGTAGATTGCATTGTTTCAACTACATACTGCAAGTCTTCTTCAGCCAATAATAATACTGACAACTAGATCAACACGTCATCTATAGTCAAAATACTGCATTCCACATTGAAGTGTCAATAATGTGAGACACAAAAATGTTTCTTTTCTTGGTGATTAATGGGTGGAGATGTAAGTTAATGGTTTTCTGAGACAAAGTTAACCTCCCTGAGGTACATGTATAGGGCTGGAGTATACCATACTCTGAGGAATCAGAACTGTATCTCTTATTGCAACTTTTGAAATATTTTATATGTAGAGGCTTCAATTGGCAGTAACAAGAAGAAAAGCTGGCTATCAGGTGGTCATGGAAGCAAGGTAAAAAAATTGCTCTCAATTGGGCTTTTAATATTCAATGAAGAATTGCTGAAAAGTACAGCACTGCTGCTAACATGCATTTACATGTACCATCCATATTTACCATTTACATGTACCACCCATATTTTTGTGGGAAAATGTGATGGGTACATTAAGGAGTGAATGTCAGGCTACAGTTACTATACATGTATGTGAAAGCAATGCTTCTTTTATTTATCCACTTATGTTAAAATTTCTACAGGACCTCAAAGAGTCATTAGAACAAGCAGCTGCTGATGCCATGTCTCTTGGTGGATTTGTTTATGATGAAAGGACAGGATTATACTATGACTGGAACACAGGTTACTATTATGACCCAGTAAGTTTTGAAGCTTGTTATGTCTTGATTATCTAAAAGCAGACCTTATTCTCAAATTTGATTGAAGGGAACTGCAAAGGCTGTCTATTGCATAGCTATAAGTTTTAACAACAGACTCTCTATTAAAGATGATAGATGTGTCAATGAAATATTCACACAAAAGGCTTTTATTTATAGTGTAAGGTAGTGACAGCAAGCTGCAGTTCAATTTTTTGTATATGTACATTGTATAGGTATATTTTCTTACATAAATTTACAATATCATCATAAAAGGAAATAAAAATGAAGCGAGAAAATGTCACAGATCCATATTCTTAAGTTTTATATAATTCAGTTTAACTACAGCTGTAATGTTGTACATCTTTGTTATCTTCCACTGATAGATCTTCACTAAATGTCCTGAATGTGTCATAATTCATTACATTTGTGACATCCATGAAACTGTTACTCTAAAATTAAAATGATGAGTTTCCTTTGTTTGCTTTCAGAATAGCCGTTTATACTATGAAAACACTACAGGAACATACTACTATTATGATGAACAAAGTGCTACTTACAAGTTTCACTCCAAAGTTGATTTGTCCTGTAATCTTGAAGAAGCAGCATCAACAGAAATAAAAAATGACGAGGATGAAAGAGAGAGTGGCGAAGAAACCAGCGATGACGAGGAAAAAAATGACAAGGATTCAGAGAGTTAGTGGCTCTTTAATTATAAATTCTGTAGTATACATGAAGGGCTGTTTTTAGGAAAGTTTCTGTAAAGGTGCAATGATGTTTTATAGGAGGTGATTGCATATAGGTTACATTCATCTGGGACTGGACAAATTTTCGTGGGTTAAAAAGTTTTGCCTGAAATTTTGTTCTTATAGAACTACAAGTAGTAAATATCTCAACTTGGTTTGCTCATAACTGAGTGACCAGTTGAACCTGTTTAATGGGTTTATGACCCAACTGTGCATACAATGTTGCTTTCTGCATTCTAAAATATTGCAGGGTTTTTATTGTGCACCCATATGTATATGTAGCCATGCCCTTGCTATGCAAAAATTTTAAATGGTCATGATGTTCACACCATAAAGTGTAATTTTGGAGACCATCTAGATAATATGTTAAAACCATCAAAAGTAATTTTTTATTTGTGTGTGCTGTGTTCATTTATTGTGAACTTGGTAAATTAATTGTGTAAGGTTTTTTTTTTTTTTTTTTTTTTTTGCAGTTACAGAGGTGCAGTTTCCTTGCATCAGAGCCATTGTAATCAAGTCTTTGAAAATGAAAGTCGGAAGTCTCTTTATTGTAACTTGTACTGGAGGAACAATTGGCAGGTGTGTGTCAATGACTATTTTAATGGGTGACCATAGTAATTAAAACAATTGTTTTGTTAAATACATAATAATATCTCCTAATTTTTTTCCTTCTATTATGATGCAGAACAAAAATAACCAACACCTAAGTGAATGCTGGACCACAATAAAAATTTCATACAACATTTGGATTTAGGAGATTTATCATTAATTCTCTTTGCGGTATTAAAAAAAACCTTTGCCTTCTTACTGGGTGTACTTTAAAAGAAATTTAATGCGGTTTTCTCTTGTAGAGAAAAAGATATGTCACATGTTATACGACTCCCTGATTTTGAAGTCAGTAAGGTATGCAGCACTCATTTGTGGTTAGTTCTAAGCAAACATCTAATTGCTGAGAGCATCATTGTTTTGTTGATGCATTCACATTTTTCATGATTTGTTCAGCTGCAGTGTAACATTGAGTTTGACAAAGAAAGGAGACAGTACTTCATCTGTGATGTTGGAAGCAGAAATGGAACATTCCTTAATGGATCAAGACTTTCAGAGGTACACTGTAATCATCAAAATTATAAACATCAACCCACTCTGGTTCAAACTGATCATTGTGAATCAAACTCTTTATTGATTCTTGAAGACCTTAAATTGATAAACAGACAATAATGGCAGTGATTAATGTATAATGTGGACATTTTGTGATTTTATTATGAAATCATCAGAGCAAACAAAAGAGCCAGCTGCAGGTCATTACTCACGGTGACGAGCTGACCCTGGGAACCACCACATTTCATTTGCATATCCACCCAGGAACACAAACATGTGACTCCTGTGAGCCTGGCCAGGTACAGGCCCTGGCACATCAAGGCACCTCAACTACTGTGGATGACGATGGTACTGTTGTTGTTTGTTACTGTTTGTAGGTTTTGTGCAGCATATGAACCAAACGTAGACAGTTATGAAGTTTTTTGTTTTTTAATAATGTTGACAATTTTATTGTTTCTAAGGTTTTTGTGAAAATATGAGTTTTTCATGGATACTTACTGTACTTGTATGAAAAAGGTGAAACAGAATATTAGCAATTGGCATCTAGTTCAAACTGTTTCTTAGGTTATTACAGACTGAGTGCACATGATTGGTTGGTATTGTAAGTTGATTATGTTGGATGATACAAGTAGATTGGTTGGTTTATCCCCTGAGCCAGTCTGATGGAGCTTACAAAGTGTCCCTCTTCTTGTACATGTATGTGTGTTATATCATCAGTTTGCTCAACCAAGCAAGGAGAAACTGTGTGATAGAGTGCTACAACAACAACAACAACAACTTTATTTTTTTCGCCCCAAAATATACAAGAAAGAAAAATTTATAATAATAGTACAGACAATGATAGGGGCGCTGGCTGCCCGAAATAACCTAAGAGTTAAAAATGCCAGGCAGCCAGTGCTGGTGAAAAATTGAAAATTTGGTTACTCTGTACATTCCGTTGCCGTTTGAGAGTTGACTTTTAGCACCAGGTGTAGGTAGGTACGTACGTTTGCCAAGTAACTTTTCGAAATTGGGCAATTTTCAACTGAGTGTCGCAAGAAATCAGTGATTGCACTGGGTTTGCTTTACTTTGCTCTGTAATTGGTCCAGACATCTTGCCCCACCATCTCAACCAATCAGGCATAAAAGTTGCTGCTTTGTACTATAACAGCCTCCGTTTGTTTAGGGCTTCTTTAGTTGGGCGGCTTTGAAGGACTGTAATAGTGGATCGTCTTTCTTGTAAGTCTTCTTTTTGTGGTAGAAGTCAAACACTTCGTCCTTTTTAATGGCGATCATTTCTCCGTAGTCTATATTCCCGTCATTGTCTGTATCTAGAATTCGAACGAGCTTCTTCAGCTGCTTTCTAGTCATTGGTATTCCAGCTTTCTTTACTCCGTTCATGAATTCTGCTCTAGAGATCTTTTTACTGTTGTCCTTGTCTAACTGGCGGAAAAAGTCTACCACCCGAAGACCTCTGAGCTCGATGTACTCCAAGAGCAAATTAAGAACGTCCTGCAAAAAGAGGAGAAAACTTGATTGCTATAATTTCTGGGAAAATTGTTCACCTATCTCAACTTGGATAGCAACTTAGTGGTAAACGGCAGGTTTTTCTCTCAAACATTTTCCCGCCTTTCCGACTGTAATGTGAAAATTCCGCAACCAGCTTTTCCTTTTTTTCTGCTGTCAGTTGAAAAAAAACCGCCGTCTTTAAATTAATTTTCCTCTTCCGTACCTATGAAAAATTTCTCGATTCATCTGCAATTTTAAGAATGAATAATTTGTTATCTTCGACTGCTCATCGTAAGTCAGAAGTAGCTATTTTTGCCGTATTGTCCGTAAATGATAGGGGTCAGTTGTGTGGACTGACAAAACTGGTTCTAGCCAAATTGAGTTCTCCCCTTCAAGTGAAATCAGTCTGATTATCCCAGCTCATTTCCTCTTCGCCTCGCAAAGCGCTTTTTGCTTACTCACCACTTTTTTCTTCATTCTCTTAACCCTGTCCTTCCCTTTCATGGCCGTTCCACACTGAACACTCAGATTCGGTCTCTCATCCAACACTTCCTCCAGTAAGTCCTCAAACTCGGCATTCACAGGAATGTCGTCGAAATACAATTCTTCAATGGCGCTCTCTTTATTTTTCGCAATGGCGCTCAAGATCTCATAAGCACCCTCACTCTGGAACGGGTTCTGTCCGATGCGTAAGATCTGCAGGGTTGAATTTTTAGCCAGCCCGTTTGCCAGACTCTTTGCTCCAGCGACAGATATCCGGTTACTAGAAATATCAAGCTCAGTCAGAGTGTTGTTCTCGCTCAGTGCTTCGCCGATTGCTTTCGCGCCGTCGTCTGCGAAGCCATTCCATGACAAGTCCAGAAATTTTAACGCGCAGTTGTTTCTCAATCCATAAGCAACGGCAATCGCTCCTTGCCTTCTGAAGTGATTCCAACTCAAATCGAGATACTCTAGACCAACGTTGGCGTCAATTGCTGGGCCTAGCAGTCGTCCACCCATTTCACAGAAGCGATTATGACTCAGATTCAATGATTTCAGAGTGTAATTCTGCTTCATAGCTTCCACTATAGGTTCAGCGTCTTTTTCCTGGAAACCGTTATTCGAGAGGTTAAGCTCAAGGAGTTCGGAGTTCTCTCTTAGCATTTCTGACATAGCATACGCCCCTTGCGTGCGCAGATCATTCTGCGAGACGTCCAGTTCTGTAATATACGGGTTCTCGGTTAGCATCTTGGCCATGTAGATAGCCCCGTCTGCACCGATGCAATTATCAGCAATATTCACCGACAGCACTTTTGTATTTTGCATCAGCGCTACCGCCACTGCTTCGGCTCCAAGCGACCCAAGATTGTAATGCTTCAGATTCATCTCTGCCTTACCGATTTGCTTGAGAAACGGAGTGCAAGGGATCAGGCCAAGATTTTTACAGGCTGTCAGATAATTTTCCCTTCCTTGGTTATTTTCCTGAGGATCTTCCTCTATGAAATCGTTTTCTAAGTCTGTGTCGTATTCATCATCACTACTATCTGCTGTTTTTTCTGGATGTACAGGCTCAACCGCCGGGATTTCTTCTACCGTTTCGAGCGCCGTGGGTGGCACTTGTCTTATGCAGTCCACCTGAACTGGATACTTTGTTGACATAGCTGCTGAGACTGCAGAGCAAACAAAAATAGTGAGATAAGAATCGAACCTATATATGGTTTGAAATGCCCTTTCTTCCGGCTTTAATACGTCGAAAGTTTGACAGGTCAAATTTTCAAGAATCCTGTCATATCAGAAATCTCGAGTTAAAATAAATCAAGTTAATATCGTTTTAAATCATTTCCCGTACATTTATTTAATAACAGCGCTTGATATTTTACTCAGAAGCTAAATAACTGTCAAATATGAAGGTAAAGTATTCTTTTAACCAAAATTGAAGCGAGATGTTATTAGGGAGTACAATTTCACCTGAGTTGCCTTGTTCTTTGTTATTCTGTCTGCGTTCTTAATGTAACTGATGCTTCATAGATCCTTGGTAAAGGCACCTTATATTGATAAGTTGTTAATGCTGTTACCCATTCCAAATAAGCTAGTCCTTATGCTAAGCATCATTCGGAAGAGAAATAAATTTTCGTTTCTCGAGTGACTCACCGCATGTGAAATCCTGAATCACTTATTCAAAACAGCTAGGGTATGCTAAATGACTGAGGCATTTAAACAATTTGTTGCTAAGGAAAACGAAAAGTTACTGCTGTGAAGACAAAACACAGGTTGAGCGTTGGAGAGATCTCGACCAATGATATTTTTCCCTGCAGCATAAGGCCTTTGTCTAGAAATGTGCAAATATGAATTATTCATTGCACACGTAAACACACGACAGGTGGAATATGTTATGTTTACTGTTAACATTTACATTTATCGGGTTTTAAGGAACTTTCAGTCCACGAGAAAGATTTGTTTTTGTTGAAAAGGCAGAGACAATGTACCTTTCCGATAATAAAAGACGATGTGTGGCCAACCGATTGACTCTGAAATTTTTTACTTTATTTTTTTTTCTTTTTTAACATATGCAAAGAGTAGATAGGCTTAGCCAGGAATTAAAATAAGGTTTGCAGCTTGTAGTTTATGGACCCTTTTTAGTGATTAAGGGAACAAATTCGTCAATTTGAGTGGGGAAGACGGGAAGAATTAATATTAGACCATGAAATTGATTCAGGTGATGAACATTTGCGATAAAGTTCGCTTAGTACTTAAAATATTCGTTCTCTTATGTATTTATTTTCAATGCAGATGTATGCCGAATTAATATAATTTATTCAAGTCAATATGAATATTTTGGGCAAAGAAGTTTCTTGTCCTGGCTGGGCGCCTCATTAAAATTGATTAGCTTGGTCAATGACGCGGTTTTCATGTGGCAGTCATTTGAAATACAGCTGAAGCGTGATGGGCGATAAGGATTCACATCTTTAAGGTGTTATTTTTATCGTCCATTAGGATTTGCGTGTAAAGATACCTTAAAGTTGTTATTCCCTACAAATTTAAACGTTAACGTTCAGAAACACAGTGTGAAGTACGAGTACTTGTATGGTCCTCATCGTCTATAGGTTTTGTAAATTAGAATGGTTAATGTTGATGATGGTGTTCTTTTTGATCAAGCAATTCTATCGATTTCCAAATAAAGAATGTTGTTTGGACTTCGAAAATTCATCAACAATTTAGAAAGCTTCCTTCCAATTCCGTAAAAGACTTTAAAAATGCATAATACATTAGTTGTCTTAATAATCATGGAGATCGTTGTTTGTAGCCATCTTCGTGACCAATTCACATCCATGATTTCAAACGCTTAGAGGTGTGGTAAACTCTTGCGCACTACATGCACCATCAAAATTTGGTTTTATTGGCTTTAAAGTTGTTATTAAGGGATAGGAAAGTAAAAAAAAACCTTCGTACTTTTGTCATGTGTAGAAGGCTTAGTAAGGTAGAAACAGATTACGCTAATTTTTCAATTACTTATGTCAGTGAATTTGGTATTATCAGCTGAGTTGATAACGTAAATTGGCCACCGTTTAGAGTTTCATAGCCAATTTACGGTATCAACTCAGTTTATAATAACAAATTACCTTGTTATACTGTCCCACCGACGCAGCGCCACAGTTTCTTTAGAAACTTACCTATTTTGTCCACTTATTAAAGTGGTCTGTCAGTTTCTTTGAATTTGCTTCCTTTTCTTTTTACAGTTACCATTACAAAAGTTGTTCCCGGAGATAGATCGTTAAATTCACTTTCAGTTCAAGAACAGAGGAAATCAGAACTGAAGAGAATCAAGAGAGCTTACGCGTTAGAGGTGAGCCTTATTTCTTTTGTAAGCTCTAGAGAGAATTTTTCACTTAGTTCACATTTCGGGGCAAACTTTCAAGCAAGTGTCGACAGCAATCTACGAATGTTTTGGATTTGATTCATTACGCTCAGTAATTGGTTTACAAATCTCATGCCACCTTCTCAACATTACAAAACAAATGCAAATAAATGGTCGTCGGAAGTGGACTGCGGTTTAAGCAGTTGCAGAAAAGAAGCCTGAAAAAATTCAGGCGTCGATAGGATTCGAGCCCGTGCATCCCTAGTACTAGTTGGTGCCATTATCAACTCAGCTACGAAGCCATACATTGGGAGCGAGGCAAATTTTAATGGCTTCATCTTTCCCCTCAAAGAAAGCTGATCTCCTTCAGTTCGGCGTTGAAAACCAGTCCTAAAGAATGGTAATTCCCGTGTATCTCTCGTTATGGCCGACCATGTTAGCGTACTCTCATCAAGACCTCTTGGTTCATTATGAAATCTAGCTTTTAAAATGTATTTTCTACTTCAGGATTCAACTTATTGTGAACAACCTACCGATGGAACTCTTGCAGGAAAATACAAAAATCGTGCAGAAGTCAGGTTGGCTTTAATAACTTTTAGCTGAGTTCTGGTTTCATTTTATCGTTGCCAAATGGTCTTCATCCTTCAGCCCAGATCTGATACGTGTACTTAACAGTTAAAAGTACACTCAGCAATTTTTATGATGTTCCTCTTGATGGTGATTTTGTTTTTACTTGGATGTTAGACGCACCAAAGTGGGAAGTGACGTTCCTGTTGCGACTGCTGACGATCTCCCAGCATCCGTTCACCGGTAAAATGTGTTTTGATGTAGTGTGAGTGTATTCTGCTGATTGAACATCAAGGGGAACTGCTAATGAAAAACAGTGTCAGCTTTTGCACTTTATTTCACGTGTTGGTTATGAGGAGTAAACTGGGTGGTCTTTTTGTTCTCTGTTCGCCCTCTTATTGCATTGCTTTTTATTTTCTACCGTGAGGAAAGCTGACATAAAGCAATCGTTTGCCGCTGACATCACCGGTTTGATTTGCCTTGGCTTGGTTTGGTTTTGTTGCTTGTTTTCCTTTTCTTCTTTCTAGGCTTTTGGTGAAAGTTGCTTCGCAAAATCTGTTTATATCCGGATATCTTCATTTTCAAATACCTTGTACCCTAATTTTTTCATGTTTTCAGGCCAATCAAAGAAGAAAATGTTGGACGCAAAATGTTGGAAAAGATGGGCTGGAAAGAAGGAGAGGGCCTAGGACGAGAGGGAGCAGGTCGCCTTGAACCTGTAAGGATTTACGAATTTTTTTTTGGATAAGGACACAGGAGTCAGTTTTAACAGCTCTGGGCCAAGGAGCTTGTGTTACAATATTACTTTAGCCGATTTTGAGTAATGAAAATATACAAAATAGAACTGATGTTAATTTGGCTCTGACACTCACACTTTTCTCACGCAAAACTTTCCTTTTTTCTATTTTTCTTCAGGTAACAGTCGAAGTCCGTGACAGTCTCCGAGGTCTTGGTTCGGGTGTTAAAAGGAGCATTGATGACGTCGATAGCAAAAGTTACATCCGGGCTAAAACAAGAGAGAGGTTCGAACAGCCAAAATCGGCAACTTCCGGTACAGTGAAATTCGTGGCTGCCGACACCACTCGACCAGAAAAGGAATCATCGTCAAACTTCAACGAAATTAATGACATTTCTGTAGAGAAACCTGGAAGTAGTCAAGAGTTACCGCTGACGCTGAAGACGGAAGAATTGGATATTTTTGCAGAGTGAAAGCTGGATGTTAAGACGTTATAGCCATGTTCTTACAGTAGTGAAAGTGTTCGCGGGCGCCCACAAACGCATGACAAGAGAGTTGCGATTGGGAATGTCAGAGGAAGGAATGTAGACTCATCTATTTCATTTAATCACGTCTTGCCTATAAGAGAAGCAGATGGTATTAACGATGAATTGAATCCCGTCCATCTTTATTCGAATGATCATCTGAACATTATAGTACCCGATATCGGAAGACCATAAGGTGCTCAATAGAATTGCCTGGTTCAAAGCCAATTTCTCTTAGACAGCGCTACGGCAATTCACTAAGTAGCCTTTTGTATATTCGCAGGTGTCTTTGAAGGCTATGTAGCAAACCGAAGTGACCTTATCCTTTAAACTTAAAAGATATAATTGATTCTCCGTATAAGTTTCCACACGTTGCTTTAAACTATTTTTAAAAAATTGGGTTTTACATTAAGATGGCTCTTGCTAGCACTAGTTTAAAATACTTGTTCTTCGAACCGCAGAGACCAGCTCTGATGAAAATATTATAAGCCTCGGAAGACAATTCCACCACAGTTGTCATTGAAAGATTAAGAGGGGATGTTGGAGATAATAATTTTTTTTCCGTGATCCACTTGCCAGGCGATTCGGCACATAGTGCGGGATTGACGTTTAGCTTTGATTGGCTAACCACTGCAGTCTTTAATCCTCACGTCGTCTATACCAATGTCTCCCTTAAAACCTGAACCACGAATCCCCTCGAAATAAATCTAAAAGTAAAAAAATGCGTTCTTAAAGAAATTGCCTTTTTTTTTCTTCCTTACCAACACAGTGTACAATTACGTTACCTCATGCATTTTTCGGCCAGGAATTGCCCTCAATCAGTAGGGTTTAAGATGGTGTTTAAATTTGCGCGCAACTCCAGACTTATTGAGACTTTTTATTTCCTAACTAAACGGGAGGCATACTCTTTTATTAACGATAAAGGTTGGTGCTAGAATGGCATTCAAATCGCATATCAATCGGTCACGCATTTCACAATAATAGGTAGCAAATTAACGATTACTTGCCGGGCGTAAGCAACGAATCTCGTGAATTTCAAGTAACTATAGTATGCCTTCTTCTTAAAAACAACTAAGAAATCGCCTAGCAGCGAATCAAAGAATAGCGTATCTAAGTGTCACTCTATCTCCAATGTCTCATTTTTTCTCATGTCTCAAAAGTTCTCGAGGTGCCTACTAACAAGGAAAATTTGGGGAGCTCTTGAATGGAGTTATATTAGATTAAAATAGTGTCTTCCGCTTTGGTTTTATACCTGAAATTCTTCTTTGCAAGAAATTACTACGTTAGCGAACATCCAGTGTGTTCCCTGCATGAAGGATCTCTTCCACAGAGTTGTTGCTGTTCCATCCGCAGTTTTCTTTAGGACCCTCAGTGTTCCCATCTGAGCTCCGTACATATGATACCAAAACGTCAATCGTCGACAAGATGTTGGAAGAATCTTAGGGCTGTGAAAGCAGGCGACGTCTCCATTCTCGGCCGGGGCTGATGCTTCAAAAAATAAGTATCTTCCTGTGCACGAGAAAGGTCAGCAAGAGTGACTATCATTTGAAAAGTTTGACGGCGGAGCTCCAGCGCACGACAGAGGTGCGCCTGCTAGTGTGGCCCTATACTTTCACAGATGAAAGAAAAACGGGGGAGGAGACTGAAGAAAGAGAAAATGATAGAATTATTGAAACCTTGCGTCGATCAATTCGAACTTCCGGGCAACCCCTCAAGCAAGTGAACTATTGAAGATCGGTTTGATCAAATTCCCGTCTCCCTGAGCATTCTGGCGTTCAAATTCCTACTCAAGCACAATTTCTTTATTAAACGGATTTTTCTGTGTGAGTAAAGTAACGTTTAAGTTTTTAGGCGCTTCTGTTGAGTTTCTCGCTCGTAAGCATTATTCTATTAAGTGAGAACTTTCCTCTTAGCCATTTGCTTACAAAAGCGTACTCTTTGCTATTAAACTCCTTTTGTATTCTGCTGGTTGAATTCCCCACCCCACCTAGGCACCGGGGCACGGACGATATTCAAATTCTCATGGGTTAACCGGGGGAGGATGTTGATGCTCCGAATAAATCGGCGTAGAGGTAGAAACCGCAGTTCAAAAATGGTCAATCTTAGGTACTTTTTTGTAAGAGGTACGTGCTGAGAGTGTTATCATTTGCTAGCTGGTGCATGAAGAAGATATATATTAAATAGGTGAACTCCAAGAGAAGAAAAAATTCAGAAAAAATTGAATAAAAATTATATAAAACTATGATCTCGCCATACTTAGAACGCTTTCATATTTAAAATCTTGAGAGGTACCTGAGCCCGTAGTGTGATCTCTAACAGGTCCTGTGAAAGGTGATCCGGTTATTCCCATACTGAAATACCAATTTGGTCGATTCTTCTCTTTGTGCGATTCGCACAATTTCCAGCCATGCATACCTTCTGATTCAAATGAAACATCAAATGGACCTGACAGTGAACAAGAAGAAAACTACTTGTAAGTCGTCTGAAACTCATGAAGACCAAAGTTATTATAACCAAAACAAACAAACAAAGAATCATAGAATGTCATGATTGAGAAAATGTATTTGGTTGTCTGGCTTAGTTCACTTGTGAGAAGAACCCAACCAACCTATTATCCAGCGCGTCACATGAACAGTTTAACCCATTGTACGCATTTTCGATGGTTTCAGTGGGATAAATGACATTAACTTACCAAGATCACAAACTGTCATAAGACACTTGCCAACATCTTTCCTGTCTCCACCACATTCTTCTCCACCATTCTTTGGAGGTGGATCATTACATTTTCTTGTTCTAGTGTGGGTGCCATACCCGCATGTTACACTGCAAGGTGACCATGACGACCAACGACCCCAGTGGCCGTCAACTGGCACTAAGAGAGTTGAAGTTCACCTGTCATTCTCTTGATCAATAAGTATTATGGTTAACGGAAGTTTTTGAGCAAAAAGTAGACTCAAAGTATGTGGTCTTTCTCGCAAGGTGTAACAAGCATCTCGCGCGATGCTTGAATGTTTTGGACTGAGTACTGATAGATGCCATAAGGGATGTCAAGGGGAGCAAAATTTGAGGTTGGTTATCTATAATAATGATCGTACTTACAGGAACAGCTATGAGGACATTGCTTTTTCTGTGTCTGTACACCATACATGTTTGCACCAGGACACTTATCTCGATTCTTGTTTGAACAGTATCTCTGGCGATCATGAAGGCATTTGGAATTAAGCTTATAACAGGGACCAAAACTTGTCCACGAACTCCAGCCGCCTGTTGCTGTGTGAACATAAGACAGTTGAATGATAAATTTTTAGTTAAAAAATTTTGTAGCAGTTGACTTCTCATAGATGATCAAAGAGTCCTTTGATATGGGGTAATTTCTTTCAGTTATCGGCAACACATTACAAAGCAAACATATGAGAGTAGAAGACTGCTTTAGCTAAAGGGTGAATCTATAGAACTTGAAGAAGATAGAATGGCTTTTCAGAACCAATCAAGTAACTGATAAAGAGAGTAAGTTTCTTAAGAAACTGGTGCTGCGTCAGTGGGCGAGTATAACATGACAATTCGGCCTTTATCAACTAAGTTGATAATGTAAATTAGCTCTGTAAAGAGTTTCTAGCGCAACGCTTAACGGAAACTAGAAATAGTCGCTATGTTCCATTTGATAAGAATTAATTAAATGGGTTACCGTTAGTTTGAAAGTAAATAATGCATGTACAGGGGTAGATCAAGGGGAGGTAGCAGGGGATGCACACCCCCCCTCTTCCTACCTGAAATGAATCCCCTATGTAACTAGTACTATTGCAAAATAAAAAGGAAAAAAACATGTGGTTTATTGGCGTTGAAGTAAACATAAGACGAGTTTGAAGAATTTATGTCAAACGCCGTCAAAATGATAGATTGGCACTGACGTTTCGTGCATTAACCCCTCTATTCGTCTGAGATGTCAGTCATGTCATTCCTGGTAGAGCACTCCTTCCGGAGAAAAATCCTGGATCTGCCCTTGATGTAAGATGTATGTGTGCAAGTGAGAGTCTTAAAAACTTACCATCATTGGAGCAGTCATATAGAGCGTTTAACTGTTCAATATCTGTTTTACTGAATCCAAACCGCTGTCCAATTACTTTATAGGGATTACCGATAACCTCGATTGTTGGTCTGCCATTTTTGTTGAATGTGTACCTGCCATAATGCATGATACTGCCCGTATCATACGGTGCGTTCAAAGGATCAAGGTCTTTCTCACTTTGCTTTTTAAAGTTGTGTTCCTTTCCTAAGAATGACAAGTACATGAACACGCTAAAGAAGTTGAAACAGCTTAATCGGGTCTTTTTTCTCATGCACTTCCTGCTCTAAAGAGATAAAAAAATATTGGTTCGAGAAGATAGAAAAACACAAAAGAGGAAATGATGATACAAGAAGGAACAAAGATGGCTAATCATGGTGAAAATTGAATCAGATTGTAAATGACAACAAAATATTAGTTTGGTTGGATAGAAACCACAGAAGAGGAAGAAGAAACAAGGAGCAAGGATGGAGAGGACTGACACAAATTGCTCATAAAGATCCGTGGAAAAATTTTAAGACGTCGTTACCACAGCTCACTCGTCGAAAAGATGCCAGTGTGAAGTACAACCAAACTTTTAAGGAGAAAAGGTATTGTGATATGAAACAAAACAGTTCACTGACCAGGTTGAATATTCTCCCAGTAAATTGCCACGTATTTGTCTCGGTCCGGTCGACCTTGTTCGTGGTAGAACCCAAGAGTATGCATCATTTCGTGGCAGATTATGCCTTTTTGGTTGCAACCAACTCCAAGGGAAATCAACTGAGGTGATTTTCGCCTGTACCCAACCGGTGACCAACACCTGAGCAGACACAAGAAAAGATCTGATAATTAAAGATTTTGACAATGTATCCAATAGTCAACAATGACATACACACACACACGCACCAACAAAGTATGGGGTTAGTGGTGGCGAGCTGGACTGGAAATGGTGATTAAACGGGCGCTGGCCGAATCGTTGTGTCATGTTTTTGGGCAAGACACTTTACGTTCACAAAGTGCCTCTTTTCGAATCACGAGTATAAATGAGTACTGACTAAAGATCAGGGTCACTCAGGGTAAATCAGTGATGAATGGATAACAAAAATTCTAGTTGCTTCATGCTACGGAAAACGGAGTTCTCTCCGTCAGGACGGGCCTTATGACTCGAAAGCTATCTCTAAATCTCTTACCAACAAGAATATGATAAAGCGATTTCTTAAAAGGGGCTAACGAAGCCCGTGTTCCTCACATTTACAATTACTCAAATCCTCGTAAAGTAATATAGAAGTTCATCCAATCTTTATTTTTTTAAGAAGTTGTAATTATTTACCCTTTACCCTTGATGAATCTGACCCAATATTTCTCTTTTCCTCTTGGTCTCCATTTGATGCAGGTGTACTTATTAAACTCAGCAACTGCCTCTCGAATATTTGCCATGTAACCAGATGACACTTGAGGTTAGCAAAAGTAAGGAGATTATGCATGTTTATTTAATTATTTAATTAATAATTATTAATTATTTAAGCTTTACCTTTATCTGCAGGTTACACATTAGCAAGACTCTTAAATATCCAAAACATGTTAGAGCTATATTAGTTGCAAACAGGAGCTTTTGCTGTTGCGATACTTTCCCTTAGGAAAATTATAAAATTCCGTTCTTCTTAGAATCTCAGTCCAGTTACAGATGACAAATGACATAAAAATGTAATAATTTCCAAAAATATATGCTCTTACCATGAAGTCAGTTTACATCAGTACGAAATAGACGACTAGTCACAGAGCTCGTAGTATTCAGTTTAAAAATTGTATAATTTTCCTTCACAAATGTTGAATCTTACCAAGCTCTTGAGAGATTTCGTACGGAATGATCTTCGTTCTCCATGTATACTGTCGGCTTCGTACTGCATCGTTAATCTTTTCCTCGTCGGTGGCATTTTTTGAATCAAGATCAGTTTTGATATCACCTTCCAGTAAATCAGTAACGTCCTCAGCTTAAATAAAAAAAATATTCCTCTTGTTGATTGCGATACTGATTAAGTCAGCTTCGAGTTAGAAGAGTTACCTCATCACATTTACCTCATCAGATTTGAAATCTCAGAATATGTGGTTCTGGTACAAAAAAATCAAAGAATAAAGGGAGGGGGGGGGAGGAAGAAAAGCGAGGATGGTGGAGATTACAGTGTGACTTTCACCAAGGTCGTCAACTCAAAACTGGCTAATCCGAATACAGGAAATGAACGACGAATTCCATTCACTTGTTTGTTACATTTCTTTTCTTTGGTTCTCAATTGAATTACATGGAAATCAATGTGCGTTTCCCGTAAATGTGATTAGCCTACGCGTAGCCGTACCCTTCCCCCAAGGTGAAACGGTTACCCCGCCTCCGTTTCACCTTGACAGGGGAGGGTACGGCTGCACGTAGGCTAGAATGCGATTGGTCAATTTGTTTGATGGACCCCGGTACTCGACCGTAGGGGCACCACAATACCGACCCCAAATAAAGAACTTGAAAAGCGAAGGGTACATTCTTCTAGTTGTGAGCTATCAAGTAAGTTTTCAAGTCAACACTAAAACGACTACGTTCTTAAAGGAGAACAAGAATGCCATTTTTGACAGTTTTTTTCGGAAGTAAAGTTCCTCGAAAAAGTGTTTGTGAAAGGAAATGCTCATCATCTATACTGAAACAAAAAATTCGCCACTATTGCGATTCACTTAATATTTAAATCATTTGGAGTACGGTCTTTATATTTTCTTTGATCCTGAGAGATATTCTTAATTTCGACCATGAACAAGCACGTTTCAATTTAATTAAGTTCAGTAATTTAATTAGTAAGGGGGATCGTATCATAACGCTTGAGGTCTAAAATAACATATATGGCCACTTACCTTCATTTACTTTCCAAATCTCATCAAAGGCAGACAGAGTTTCATAATCCTCTAGCGGCCAGTTTAGATCTTCGCTATCAAAATAATTCTCCCAACCTGTGATATAAGAAGAAATATAACATAGTAACTTCTGCAACAGAAGAGGATGCCGACGAAGGTAAGATATATTTTGAGACAAAACGAGGCAATCTAGCGAGAGTGTTCACTTCTTATTTTTCCGTCACTTTAACACATGGAAATAACGATGAAATACGGAAGTCTAACGATCGTAAAGAAGGTACCTCGTGCTGTACATCAAAATAATCATTGCAGTCGCTTAAGATCGAAATTCTGTTGTTAGCCATGGCGTATCATAAGTTACACCTTCCAGTCGAAAAAAACAGACAACCATTTTTACAAAGCTTTACAAGAAGAACACGACTCCTCAGATCTGGATTACGTTAAAATACTTTAACGATTTTCAGAAGGGAAAGAGAGAAAAACCGTTTCCATGTTCAGCTGGTATTTTTCATTTTTCCTTTATAGCTTTTTTGAAAAGTGTGGTCTTGTTCTCGAAACAAGTGACACGGCATTTTCCCCGATGTCTTAAATTTGTCTTTAACCTACATTGTTTATGGTAAAACAGGATAAAAATAACCTGCTTTATGGACTGGTTATCGATATTTTCCCACAAGTATAAACATCCTCAATCGTTACCCATGGGAAGCTTTTACCTAATAATTGGGGGAAATAGTAAATAAGGTGTTTTTGAGTGAAGTTTTTCACATGAGTAATATAACTCTTTAAGTTTAAGTTCCACCTACATGGTTAACACCAGTAGCAAAGAAAAGTTAGTCGCCTGACAAAAAAAAATGACTGAGTTCACCTGAGAGAACAAATATGAATCTTTTTTGTGAACTTACCCTCTTCGCGCTTAATAACAGTTCCTCCGCAGATTTCGCCTATGACAAAGAAATAAAGCACCGCTCTACACAGAACTAACATGTTGATCTGGGATTATGAGTTTGAGCACTTGAATCCAACCTTGAACGTTGACTTTGTTTGGATGTTATTCAGTTCCTCTAGGCGGGAGATCTTGGTAACTTTACCCTAATTCCTACGAAGATTTCAAAAGCAATGAGTCGCGAAAATGCTTGTCTCACTGAGGAAATTTAAAAAGCCCGCCCCCTCTTACTTCAAATCCCCAAAAACACTTCACGCTTGTTTAGTTTACAAAAGTATCATAGCACTCTTATAAGTTTATATTTTTATTATCTTTTATACCAGTTCCTTTTGACAATACAACCAATCTATTAAGACTAAATAAACCTTTATCAGTCAATAAGAAGATATCGCTCTTTGTCATATTTTCATTACGTATTTTGAACTTTAACACTAAACACCACGCAGAAAAAGTTGAATACCTTTTTAACTCTTGAAAATGCACCATGCTATACGTCCACTCGTCCACTCTTTCTATGCTGTCAGCTAGTGTCCATCTGTTGACTTCATGTTTCGTTAATTTTCCGAAAGAGTTTACGGAATATAAGATGTTGCGAGGGACTAAGTCGAGTGCAGTAACAAAATCACCCATGGAGAGTCGGCCAGGGAAACTGGGTTGACTACTTCACGTCGACGCTTTCCGATTTCATTCCGCATAACAATTTTATGTTAAGAATCATCAAATTATCAAATTTGATTTCATTTCAAGTCAAATGAACCGTACAGTTTTAGTGCGACTCGCTCTTGCTGAGTGACCGTTGGTACATGTGATGAGTCTACTGAAATCCCATCTGATAGACAAATAACGGTTTCGTTACTTATTGTGAGCTTGACGCTAGTGATAAGCAATATTCTCGGCAGTTCGCGTCTCTTAAGGAGACCTTCGATTTCCGACCCTCCCTTATTCAAAAAGGTTCGTTTGTCGATCATTTTCAGGGATAGGATTTCACGAAACGCGAATTGCGATAGCGTATGTCACAGGTCAGTCAGCAAGACTTAAAATCGCGATAAACTTGTGGGTCATCTACAGCAAAGTAGGAATTTTGACTAATGACTTAAATAATGATACGATTGATGGTCCTGAAGATCTTTGCAGCTTAGAGCAATGTTGGGGAAAAAATCAGTGTTCCCTGTATTGCTACGCTTCATTATTACGTCCAAGCATGACATACCCTTTCAATCGTTTAACTCGAACCATCACCTGTCGAGGCACCGCGCCAGGATAGAACTCGATTAATTGTGATCGAGAACGCTTTCAATATTTCTATCCATTCAAGACACTTTCAAAAATTGGAGAATATTAAAAAGTCATTGCCAATTGGTTTAGCAAGCAGCATATCTATCCTGTATGGTCAAACAGCACAGATCAAGTTCACATGAAAAATGAAAAAAAAACTCTTGGTACATCCCTAGCCTGCAGAGCAAGTATGATTTTGTCAAGGGAATGCTCTATCTTTAATTAGTGAAAATCATAGGTTCCATCTTTTATTTTTACAGCAGTGGAAAGTGGGATGAAGTAAGAAATTTGCTGTGAGGGGGAGAGGGATGGGAGGGGGGGGGAGAGGGTGAGTGATATAAAAACAAGAGAGTTAGTAAAAGGAGGGGAAAGGGCTGCTAATGTTCCTCCCCCTACCCCTTTCCCACACTCATACTATTCATTCTAACTCCTAATCAAATGTAAACAATCTGGATCTTTTAATGCTAACTCACCCTATTAGGATGCCTGCATGCCCCCCAACCCTTCCCCTCCTTGATAAATAAGTCCCTCTCAAAGTAGGTCAGAAGTACAATGTAAGCCCTTACCCCCCTCTGCTGGAGTGGAAACTTTGAAATAGGCATCAGACAACTACTGTTCAAGCAATAAGTCAAATGTAACAGTTGGTAGTGTAAAGAACACTTTTTACTTCTAGTAATCTGCCAAAATGTACAATATACATGCCCTAATATATTTTTTTAATTATTTTAAAAAAAGCTATTAGATATCAGACCGCATTGAATTAATGCTGCCATAAATATGTGAACATTCTGACTAGCAATTTAATATCATAAGAGCACAAGATAGCATAGTAATGTTCTTATCAAGGTACTTGGAAAAAATAATTTTTGAAAACTCCATCGCTTTGCAGTTACCTACTCTATACTGGTTGATATTGGGTTCCATAAAACAAGGCAGACAATTCAATTAGTCCTTATCCTCAGAAAAGTGAATTCACTTGGAGAAGTTTTCTTTTCTTTCAAAAATACTCTGATTCAATGCCCCACTGATTTCTTCAACAACTCCGAAGTCCAAGTATTTCAAGACATGTTGTGCCATGTAAGATCATCCCATCAGTAGTAATAAAAGTATTGTAAGTGAGTTAAGCAAAATAAGAGGTACTGAAAAATGAGAAGAAAAGAAATAACTTTTACAAGGGTGAGAATTTGAATCATCACTTACTAACCATTCATTCCTTTTCATTTATTTATACATATTTATTTTCTAAGATGTAAGTATACTTACTGAAAAATATTGTGTTGTCACTGCCAGTTTGATTTGTATGTCAGATTTAATTGACAGAGAGGCACCAATTCAAGGCCAGTTTGTTCATTAAGTATCAAAGATCTAAGAAGTAATGGCTTTAGCTATTTCCGACTCATATGGAGAATAATCAAAAGTCACTTTACACAATTTTCCTAGTAGTACATTTCTCTTTAAAAACCCAGTTAATCAGCTGTCAAGCTACTGGAAGGTGGAGAATTACTTTACAATGTTAACCATGTTATACCAACTTAAACCCTTCAACTTACTTCTCATAACAGTCCTGACTGAATGTATTAGATTAATGACTTGGTGTTTTGTTCCTCTTTCGTCTCCAAATCCTGAGAGCTGGTCCGTACCCCATCCAACTGGAACAGAGAAAATATGAAATTCACCAAATATCCCCAACACCTGTCACCTCTCCCCACCACTATGCAGTGTACACTCAAGAGGTGGCCAGCTGTAAGCAGCAAATAAAACTTGATCCTGTACATAACCCTGTTGGTATACCAAGGTTCTACAACGTTAAATGTTCCAATTCGATCCTTAAAAGTACCTAATTCAAAGCGTGACATTAATAGCGAACGCTGACTCAGTGAATTGCATAAACTGCGTGTTTTCTTGGCAGGTAACCGCACATTTCGAGGTAAGAACCAATGAATTACCATATCTCTAGATTGAAAGTACATTGAAACTGAAGACAGAGATACCCTGAGATATTCAATAGGATCTATTCTGAGTATTCCGAAGTCATTTATAAGCTGATAATCAGTAAACTAATTGTTCACCGTAAATCAAACAAACCTTTCTCTGAAAAATGACAAAATATACACATGTAACTTACTTTTCGCCAGAAATCGCTCCTCGTGAAGCACCGCAACAGCATTTACCACTAAAAGACAGGCTTCGAGTAAACTGTAGAATGTGAACGCCATCTTGGATTTTCTGACGTGTAAACATGCGCATTGATATCTTCGAAGATTTCGTACCCAGGGCTTTGCGATATGTATTGTCCCACTTCCGCCGGATATGCGTTCACGCGCAATATGGCGGCAAACTGATGCAACTTTTAACCACTTCGTATTTTCCCCCACCAGGAAGCTTATCCTCAACAATTAGTCTAGAACCAGTTTTATTAGAAGAAAGTGAAAGCACTCTTTCTACCTCTATCGCTAGAGAACCGGTCTGAAAACTTACAAACGGCGCATGATGTTCAGCACAATCCTTTCTAGATCGATGACGATTTTGAATTTTAGAGATGATGCAATTTGCGTGATTCAGTTCCTAAAATGATCATTAAAGTTTCGAGGAACAAGGGGGTGTAGCATGTACGTGGCATAATGTGAAAGAGCCACATTTCTTCCGACGTGGTCTTGAGACGTAATATAAGTCCACCAACAAAACCTCTTCTTCAAAGTTCGATTTGTCTCTTCAGTCAGATGTCAGTTGGGAGCCCTTCAATTTCAAGAACAGTGTTCAGGATGAAGAGTCTTCTCCTATTCTTTGTACTCGTGGTAATAAGTGGTAGAAGTGAAGGTTCATGGTTAATGAGCCAACCCTTCGATGATTTTGGGTGAGTGCAGTATTTAATTTTTTTTTTTTTTTCCTCCACGACACCGTCCAATGGTAAATCTCATGGCAGGTTTTTGAGAATACCTATCATTTATTGTTTAGCTGTCCGACCAGATCTGTAGATTCGTTGCCAAATTGCTTTAATCGGGACTGCCTGACCGTATCTAAGAAACCCTCAGTCATAATTATCTATGCAACTGAATTGGTAAAGCAATTGGGGACACTCAGATTTTAATTGACTGGTTTTATTTGTTAACCTTGACGAGATGTTTGGCAGTTACATCCCACAACCAGATCCCATCGAGTTATTTTTAAGAGTTTGACAGCTCACGGTGGAAAAATTGAAAAACCAAGTTTTCACAAGGTCTTCAAAATTTAATAACTAGGGAATGTCGCAATAAATAATATTCTCTTAGCGGCGCATATTGTTGTGCAACCATAATCTCAAACTGTTATTATCTAGAAGAGACCTCACAAACTCTTCCTCACACTCTGTTATTCTGGAACTTCCGGACTCTCCTTCCCGTTCCCGGGACATCGAATTCCTTGTAAAACACCGTGATGCGTGTGAATATCTTTCGTTATCGCAGATTGTGGCACAGAAATAACTTTCTTGACTTTGTCAACTGGGATCCATTCGAAGACGATCCGTTGGAAATGGCCTTTTTCCACAACCAAGATCCTTATTTTCCAAGAATACACAGAACAATTGGTGCCAGTCATAGACCAGTTTCGTACCCACTCGTGAAACGAAATGACGAGGACGTTTTCAAACTAGTCTTGGACGTCAATGGATTCGATCCGAATGAACTTTCGTTGAAACTAGCCGGTCGTGAGCTCCTAATCAAGGGCGCTCACTCTTGCAACAGGAAAACACAGATTTCTTGTTTCCAACGGACATCCTGCTGGCGTCGCACACTCCCAGACGATGTGGATCTAAAATCTATAAGAGCAAAGTTGTCCCAGCCAACCATTCTAGAAATCGAAGCCAAAAAGCTGAAGGAAAACGAACGTGACGTACGGATTGACTGTCTGGATAGTTTGGGTGACCAGTCACAGAGAAAAAGTAAGACGAACAGTCGGTTTGACGAGATGAGGTCCATTCAAAGACGAGATGACAATGTAAAAACTTTTCAGGAAATGGATGAGGCCACAGTTGAGGTAGTTCCGGATGACAATGTAGAAAGTGACTCCCAGTGAAGCGAAATTCGTAGACAGTATAATAGGTGACAATGAAATCCGTTTTTTTTTTAATGGTTTTGCCTTAATAGAACTGTTTTTCAACTGAGTTTTGAAAGAAATCCACGATTAATTTGGTTTTGCTTAACTACGCTCTATGATTGGTCCAGAAACCTCGTGCCACCTCAACCAATGAGACTCAATACTAACGTCAATCCTGATTTGGACTCGTTTTCCCGCGTTTATTATAGTTTGCTTGTTTTTACTGAGAGTTTTAATTGGCTAATGATAATGTCAATCTTCACTCCGATTGGCAGTTGTAGCTACTTTGGTTTCAGTTTTTCGACGTCAAATGAGGACTGTTCTAGTTTGTTGCAGGGATAGTTTTTCTGAGCTGGATTCATGCATCAATCGTTAAAATCCCCTTTATTCCCGTCCTTCCATAAATTTATTGAGAATATTTATCTCAAATGATTAAAAAAGAAACTTAGTCACAAATATATAATTCTAATTGTTGTTTTGAGTGGATGTAGCAACATAAAACATAAAAGACGAAAGCGATGAAAAATTATCTTTCTCCGACCCGTTCGTTCCATTTATTGTTTATTACTTGTTGTTCGTTCTCCTTTACAAATGGATTCCCGCCACTTGTTAAGAATTGTTCTAAAAATAGAGCCCCCCCCTCCCCCACGACTGATCTATGATCTTAGATCGGTGTGCTGCTGTTGACGTTGAATATGGGGCACTTCGAAATAACTCTAAGATTTCCTGAACGTTGATAAAATTAAAAACTAAAAAAAAAAGATGCATATCTGCATAACGTTAAGGCAAGACTAAAATACAAATCCTGGCAAAGCATCATTCTTCAGCACGAACAGAATTATTTAGATGTCAGATGTGAGACGAATCTCTTGTAAGCTACGTTGGTAAACAGGCTAAAATCGATTTGGTGTCAAACTTAAAATTCAAAAAGGCCGGGGATGTGAACTGAAACTCTTTATCTTCCCAGCTGTGTTCTGAAGAGGACGTTTCCGGCTGCTTTGAACGCGATGACATGTGAGGGGTCCCAGGAGATAAATGTTCTCTGTGGACACCTATAACACCGTGCATGTGGTGGTATGGGGGGTAAACGCCCCTCTCAGGAGTGGCAGCGCCCAAAGGAGGAAAGGGTTGATGTGCTGTGACGGGACCAAAACCCAAGCTTCCAGAGAGAAGTTTTTGTATGGGATTAAAAGGTTCCTCAGTGTATGACTCGTCAGTTGGCCGCTGTAATATCTTGAAGACCGGCGTACCCTCCTTTTCTCTCGCAACTGGAGAAGAACGGTGAGCTAAATTTTCTTCTAGCAAAGCTTGATAATCTGAAGAGAATGAAATATTGTCTTTTGCATTGGACTCGACAGTAGGACTTAACAGGAACTTAAACAGTACGAGATGTCATAACACATCAATGTTTTCAAGGTTACGGAACTTTTACGCTTCACATGAAATATTCATCTGTGGATGTTATGGGCTAGATGCAAAGTGAAAAACAGTCTGTGCATGTGTACATAAGAAATACTTTGACTGGATAGTAGTAATTTTGATCAAGACTAAGTATCGTCTCCTTCTAGGCTGTTCTTTGGAATATCACGCAACACTCCACCAAGCGTTGCGTGACATTCCAAAGAACGGCCGCTAGGGAGACTAGTGCCTTTTCTTTTTTTCGTTGGCGCTCGGTAGACCAAGAAAAGACAGGCTAGCAGACTAAGAAAAATTCGCATAACCTCTAAATTGCATGTCATGCAAATCGATTTCCGAAACACATTGCGTGATATGTGCATTGAGGTGACGCAACACTCGAGTGACAATCGAGATACAATGGTTCCAACGTTTCAATACCTTTCGGTGTACTTCCTCTCTGTTGCATGTGATGATATCGCAGGGGGTGATTTAGATCGTGTTGCAATTGGAATTTCTCCTGTTGTTGCTTTCTTCTTCTTTCCACAGCAGCGCGTTTCTGTTCTTGCTCTAAGCGTTGCTCTTCTTTAGCGAGTAGGTTCTGAAGTTGAGCATTCCTCGACGTTTCCGAAGCAACCGGCTCAGGATTGGGTTTATATGCTTCTTTAAGTCGCGCCGATATCCATTTCCGTAGGTTCCTGTGGGAATAATTTGAAATCCTCAATTAACAATACTTAAGATTAGCACCTGTGGATTTTCTAGCAAATACACGTGTTAATAAGGTATCTTCCCTTTAAAAATTCCCTGAAACACCCCTTTATTCCACTGTGTATCCCACCACGGTTTATTATACTATTGCTAACCCCATTAGAAAGCCTGTTTAAGGCCCTCAGTCGATGGAGGAGAGTGAAAAATAGAGCGAAAGGGGCTTATGGGTTGTCACCCATTTTATGCGTGCCTACTTTTCTGCTCGTTTCCATTGACTGAGAGCCTTGTCCTTAAGAGCCATTAAGCGCTCATTATTTCTGTGGGAGCCTGAAAGGAAAAGGAAAGTCTCCTGGGGTGTGTTGACCTTCACGATTCACCTTTCGCGCTTTAATCAAACTAAGAACAACTGATAGGAGGTAAGTATGATTAGGGACCCGTTTCCTGAAGCCCCAATAACTTTACGGCCCGATGTAATATTCCTAGATCTAATACCACGGAATAACAATGCTGGTCTTCGCTCAAACACCAGTCCATCCTGTTTCTTTTCCTGACATGTTTATCTCAAAAATGAAAGAAACATGGCAAACAAAAATCTGCCTTCCGGGTTTGTTTTCAGGAAATGGGTTCCTGGCTTTCTTTTTCCTGGTATCAACTTTAAACGGATCCAAGTCAAGACATTTAAAACAAGAGAACTTGACAGAATACAAATACAATTTTTTTCCCGGGTTGATTGAGTTATAATTTCAACTAGTAACTGTCAGGAGGAAAAATCCATTGTTTATCATGCCTTACTTTACAAACGGAATAACCATGTAGAAAGCACTTGGATTTAGTCCCAGGTTTTCTCGGCAAACGGTATCTTTCTTGTGAGCGGGAAGATTGTCTATGTAAAACCACTGTATTTTCTAAAGCAAAGGAAATAAAAGACTTACATGTATTCACTGAGCTCCTTAAACATTGTAAGCGTAAATCACAACACAGTTAAGTCATAATTTAAAGAAGATTCACTTGGGAACACATTGCAGAGGTTTCCTCAGACTGCTGCATAGAACTGCAAACTTGCATGTCAGTCTTGAACACAGGGTATGTAAAAAACTTTAAATGCGGTTAATATATTTTCACCTTAATCTCTCCTCTTGTGAGTGGCTGGAACACTGTTTTCTCAGGGACTCCAGGGACAACATACAATCTAATCTGTAAAGTTTGAACGGAGGCCACAGTGTGACTAAATGATAACATAATTGATTGTCTGATTAACTGTCTGATTTGATGCCTCATTGTCTAACTTTGTCTGAGTGACACACTGACTTACTATCTGTCTGCCTTCTGAATGACTAGCTGACTCACTGCCCAACTGAATAAATCACTGACAGATTGACTAATTAATGCACTTACAGTTGAATGGTAAGATAGAGAAAGTAGGCAGACTGTAGTTCTACAGAACATAGTTTTCTACAATTCATTAGAGAGAGGAAAGATACTGATCCATTGTGTGTTTTACTGCATGCATTGACTTGCTTCATCTTGCATACAGTCACAATTACTACAATAACATCTAAAAGCTTTTCATATGACTTTGCACCTGATGATCCTGGAAGTTGTGTTCAAAATAAGTGTCTGGGTCTGCATAAAATCTCATCTCAAATCCAGTCTCTTCTAATACCTGTGGAAACATTGTTCAGAGATTATCATAAAGAAATGGATTACTCAATGCTTTGGTATGAATTACTGATGGCCAATGAACATCATGCTTGACAGGTTTACTAACCTCTCTAACAGCACAATCAAATCCTGATTCATCCTTATTAACCTTTCCTTTAGGAAAACCCCAACTTTTTGACGCGAATGACTGCACTAACACACACTTGGAGAAAAAGAAAAAAGTGAACTTAGTGATGCTACAGGCACTTCACAGCAATCTTAAGTTTTAATTTTAAAATTAAGTTAACTCCATCTAACATTAAGAAAAAGTTTTTGTTCCATAAAATTTTCTTACAAGTAACTATTCAACTGAGTTTATTACATAAATCAGGGTTGGTAGTAGCATATTATTTAAAGTCATTATGATTAAATTGTTTCTTTGTCTTGTGTTATAGTAAGTGTAAACTGTAATGTGTGGAATGCCACTTTTGTTCACTTGTTAAATAAAATCATGATACTCAAGTATGATGAATATGAAAAAGAAAATCATCAGGAAACAAGAAAAGACTTCAGGCAGAGTGAGTTACCGTGGCAATTTTTATAATTTACAATTAACAAAAATAAATGTTACCTTGTCCAGGCTTTGATTCAACAATATTGCTCCATAGACAGGAACACTGTACTTGTACTTCTTCCAGTTCTCAAAAATTTTGTCAATATTTTCCCCAGTTTTATTGAGAAATGGAAACTGTTCAAAAAGTAACCATGTTAAGGTACAAGTTGAAAAATTAGTTCACAATAAGCTTGTTATGATAAAACAGTACAAACTACCTGTATTAAATCTGGCTCTTTTCAGTAAAGAGGACAGTGTCTGCCACTGCGAACTGTTTATACGAATTTTCAAATGATCAGGCGAGACCTGTGAGACATATTTGTTGGATATTCAATAGTGGAGCACTGTCTAGATCTTGTTTCGAAATCGAAAAAGGCAGCGATGACCCATAACCCCCAAAAAAACTGGATATCGAAAGCTCCTTGAAAGAAATACAAATATCAAGGTTAAAAATAACATTAATAGTGACAACAACAGTTAAAAAAAGGATATTTATTCTCGTAAAATCCTTAAGACCACAGGTTGGGAGATCTGGTTGCTCCTGTCGGTAGAAGTCGACGTAAAACCAATGTGCTGTCTCGATCTGAAAGCACAACCGAACGACATCTTTCCTTTCTTCTTCCGGTATGTTGATTAAGAAACGGCTTTTGAAAGAAAGAATAAAGTCGTTGATGGTAACAACAGGACATCAAAGCAGGATAATAACATCTTCTTGAGCCTACCTGCATAACTCCTCTAAAATGGTTTGTGGAATAATTGAATTAGAAGGTATGAGGGGAGAGTCAGGTTCGACGTCTCGTTCGGACGCCATATTTAAAATATCTGGCCTCGTTATCGCAAGACGAAGCGGAAGTGAGTAGGAGGGACTGGGAAAGAGCTTAGCAGCCACGCTCTAAGCAGTATGGCGGACAAGTTGTGAAGTGTTTCTCGATCTTGAATCAATACAGTCACGGCATGGCTTACGGTTTCAAACTTCTCGTTTTGTTTTGTTTCATTTCATTTCTGTATGGTGTTGGAATATTCCTTTTCACTCGCGGTTTTCTTTTAAATCGGCTGGTCATCAATGACCTGAGTAACTGTTCAGAAGCTCCCGAAGTCATTCTGTTGTCGTCTGATCAAGAACTGTCGAATGCACGGAAATCTGAAGGCTGTTGGATGAAGAAGACGTACGAAAAAGCTGTGATACTAATAATTGATGCTCTACGCTATGATTTTGCACTGTACAACTCAAGTCTGGACGATGACAATGCGTTGCCTTACCAGAATAAATTAAAAGTCATCCATGAAGTGTTAGCGAGCTCTCCTCTACATGGAGCTCTGTTCAAATTTGTGGCTGATCCACCAACCACCACTATGCAGCGATTAAAGGCGCTCACTACTGGTAAGTTATTCTTTACACCTGATTCGTGTAGTGTTCCAAAAAGCAATAGATATGATGTATACAGCTTTTCCACACTTAGAACTTCAAAGAATGTGACCAATTTGCAATGTCTCCTTACCTGCTGGGTCCAGCTGTTCAAAGGGGGGATAACGCTATCCATCAGATTAACCCTTTAACACCCATGAGTGACCAAGACAGAATTTCTCCTTAGAATATTAATACATTATCAAGCAGACAAGTGATGAGAATAAAGAATAATATTAATTAGGGGATTATTAGTTGATCCAAAAACAAATTCTCCAAACTAACATCACAAGAACTGTATGGTAGAGAGTAAGGAGAATTACTAATGAGATCTTGGGAGTTAAAGGGTTAAAAGCTATCCAGTGTACTGTGCTATCCACCGGTTAGAGATTTATCCAGTGGATAGCATTACACGTCCTTTGAACAAAAGTTTAAGTTTGTATTCGAGCCAATTTCTGAAAACAGGGCTTATTCCAGTTTCTTAATGTAGCACGAAGGGACAAGGAGTATTATTACTCCCCTCTGGATGGGCCCCTCAGCATTTTGTCATGCTTCCCCAAAAATTTGCCAGTATTCATCTATATTCCTGGATGGAGAGAGGCACTGTGAAAGGAAAGTGTTTTGCCCAAGAACACAACACTTGAACCCAGACCTCTTGACCTGAAGTTCAATAAACTGACTTTAAGGTCACTGTGTCTCTGCAGCTATACATGTTACCCTTTACAGTCCCTAACATCAGTGTTCATATTCTCCATACTGTTCTCTGTACATATACTAAGGTGTTGACAAGGAGAATTTGTCTAATAATCAAGGGTTTCTTTAGTTTGTGATCATTTCCTTTATTCTCCTGGCATTAATTTGTGATTCAGTGGTGATATTGTAAGGAGAAATTAGATTTGAAATCAAATTCCAAGAACTAACATAGTAATAAAAGTATATCAGACAGTGAGATTGAGTTGTTATTGAGATCTTGGGAATAATTACATGTAGAGTCAAATTCTGAAGTAAGGATGTTTATGCAGTTCTTTACTTCTTGCACATCCAGCTTTATCTATATTATTTGCTGTTTTAAAATGATACTTTTGATATGTTGGTAAAAAAAGTAATTTAAAAAAAAATTAAGGAATTAATGATTCTTTTCTCAAACAAAAGGGTCATGAATTTTGAGTCTATCCTTACTCTCATGTCAACAGGAAGTTTACCTACTTTTGTGGATGCAGGAAGTAATTTTGCCAGTTCAAATATCACAGAAGACAACATCATCTCACAGCTGATATCTCTAGAGAAGAACATAACTTTCATGGGGGATGACACTTGGGGTAGTCTATTCCCTGACTCATTTCACAAGTCCTTTCCATTCCCATCATTTAATGTCATGGATCTTCATACTGTGGACAATGGTGTAATTGAACACTTGGTTCCAGAATTAAAGGAAAATGACTGGGATGTTCTCATTGGTCACTTTCTCGGAGTTGATCACTGTGGGCACAAATTTGGTCCCAATCATCCTGAAATGGCAGCTAAACTCACACAGATGGATTCTGTCCTGAGGTAGGGAGCATTTATTGCTTATGAAAGCAACCACCTCAAATCCTTTAAAATTAAATAGACAGATTTGCCAGTTTGGAAAGTGGCCTTACTTGGTGTGCTCAAAGTTGTGGAGATCATTGCTTTTCTATGGGTAGTGATTTTATCTCGGATATCTGTAATCTGATATTTAGAGTAACATACACCATACAATGTATTTATATGCATAGTATGGTGCAAAAGTAAAGAAAGGGAAATTTGCCAAATTTCACATTTTCAGGGCCTTGTTGTTGTAACTTTTGTGATGTGAATATAAGTTACACAATTCAAAATTTGTCAAATTTTTGGTTCATTTCTCCACATTGTGTCCAAGATTTGATTTGTTAAGTTGTTGTCAGTTGTGGATTGAGCTTATCATCACACTTGCACAAAGGATTAAATTCTTCTAGACCAATTACAGTTCTCCACCCTCCACAAAACCAGCACTCCAAGTTATAATTCAAATTAGAGACAGTCTTTGAGAAGAGCCACTTCATGGATGTCCACTGCCAAATCCAATTTAGCATTTTTTCTACTAGTTAACTTTGTTATTGATAGTGCCAGGTGATAGTTTTTCCAAATTTGGTTGTTTATTCAACATAATAGATCTTTTAATTAGTAGTTGGCCTCCATAAAAATACAAATTGTTTCAATGCAATGAAAGGCTGGATAGATTTCAAATTGATATAAGGTTTTCTTATACTACTTTTTGTGTTATGCCATACAGGTCTGTAATGGAGACTCTTGATGACAAAACAGTATTGTTTGTGATGGGTGACCATGGTATGACCCGTACTGGTGACCATGGTGGTGACAGTGATGATGAGGTGGATGCAGCCCTTTTTGTTTATTCAACCAAACCTATATTGACATGTAACATGAAAAAGGTAAGAAAAGGGATGATACAGTCCATAATGCATGTAAATAAATCATTCTCAATTTTGTTTTCACTTAGTCTTATTGAAATCCAAGTACCTTTTGTACAATCTCATTAGTCACTTTTTAGTCAACTCTTATGTGTTTTTTTTCTTTAATCAAAAATATAACATAGCTAGTAAATTTGTCTAATCAAATTTAATTGTGCGAGCATGCTTCATATTCCTATTGTGCACGCTCATGATGTCAGCAAACAAATCCCTCTAGTAAAAAAAAAAATTTTCCATCGGGTTGAAAATTTATAAAACAATTGGTTCATACGCCAGTGTGCGTTCATCAAGATATGAAGCACACAGGAAGTTTGGAGAGCACTCAAGAAGCTAGAGTTGCTCAAGGCTACGCCTTGAGCAACTCTTACGCATCTTTCATGCTCTCCAAACTTCCCGTGTGCTTCATATCTCGATGAATGCACACTGGCGTATGAACCAATTGTTAAATAGTATAGGCAGTGGAAGATTTTGGTTGATTTCTTTAACCCATTTTACCCTAACATCAGTATGGATATTCTCTATACTGTTCTTTATACATTTCCAAAGGTGCTGACAAGAAGAGTTTGTTTAAAAATCAAGAACTTCTTTAGTTTATAACCATTTCTTTTATTTATTCTTGTGGCCTTCATGTTTGATTCAGGGGTGATGTTGTAAGAAGAAATTAAAAGTTAGTCATTCTTAGGGGTTAAAGGGTTAAAAAGAGCAAACTTAAACTGGCATTTCATATTTATTGAATTCAGTGTTAAGAAGTTTTCAATGTCATTGGTATTGCATACTTTTTCTCTCTGTGGCCCTTTTGACAGTTTGTCTGGGCTAAAAACCTCTCTAAATGTTCGCATGTTGTAAGGTTTCCTGCCTCAAACTAACATTTTATTCCTAATGCCATTTGTGTTGTGGATTCCAATTTTCTTCTGTACACATGAGTGTACATGAAATAATTTTGTAATTTGTAATTTTTGTCCAACACAGGAGAAAACTGCAACTGTTTCCCAGATAGACTTGGTCCCTACTCTCTCCCTGCTGTTAGGCATACCCATTCCATTTGGAAACCTGGGTACTATTATACCTGAGTTTTTCTGCCATGGAAGTACCTCGGAAAGTCACTCTCACCAAGCAAACAGTGAAAATGATATAATTGCACAGCAAGTGCTGGAATTGCTTCAAAAAAACACAGCTTTTGAACTGAATGCCAAGCAAGTCCACAAGTATCTCACAAAGTATGCCTCGATCTCGGGAGATATTCCTAGAGGCAAGTTAGAGGAGCTTGGGAAGATTTTACAAAATGCAACTGCACTGGTCTCTGAAGCTAAAGATTTGGTTGACAGCCTTGAGGGACATGGGGAAATGCTCAGAAAAGCCTCTGGAGAAGAACTAAAGTATCTCAGTGTTATATTATCTTCTGCCGAAAAATTTCATAGTGACTATTTGTCTGGTGCGAAAGTTCTCTGTCGGTCGATGTGGGCGAAGTTTGATCTGAACTCTATATTTGCGGGTATCTCTGTGATTTTTGTGGCTGTCGCTTTAGTTGTTTTAGCCCTTCTTAATTTCAGTGAAAACCGATTGTCTCTGCTGGTTTTAGTCCCGCTGATAGGCTTCATTATTGCATCTGCAGCGACATCCTGTGACTTTAATGTCATTATCGTAATACCACTATATATAGCATGCGCACTGCTGTTGGCAATGTTTGTTTTTCTTCAAAAGATGGTTCTGAAATACACCCAAGTAACAGCGAGTGGTTTTTTAAAAAAATTGTCATTAGACAACATTTTTGCCGCAGTGTTATGTTTACTTCAGTGCTGGGCTTCATTGTCAAACAGTTTTGTGGTGAACGAGGACAAGCTGATTGCCTTTTTCATTCAGTCTTTAATTGGAGTGAAATGTGTTCAAGCCATATGGAAAGTTTATCCCATCAAT